TCTTCTTTTGTTTGCACAATGAGGTTGAAATGAGCGGGTCTGAGGAATATGGGAGATGGGGAAGCGTTTTATAGGGCTTGTTTCGTGATATTTTTAGGCCAAAACTGTTGGGAGAGGAGAGAGAGCGATTTTGTTGGTGGGCTTTGATTTGTTTGTTGCATGCCATCAAAATAGGGCTAAATTGGGTATTGTACTACTCAAATGAACTGGATTCGAATCCAACCCATTAATGGATGATGGGTTCGATTGGGTTGGGTCATCGAGTAAGTGATAGAGTGGAGAATCTTCGTTTAGAATCCAACCCAGTAATGGTTGGTGGGTTCGGTTGGGTTGGAGTCATCGAGTGGAGAATCTTCGTTCAGAATCCAACTCATAAATGGATGATGGGTTTGATTGGGTTGGGTCATCGAGTGGAGAATCTTTGTTTAGAATCCAACCCAGTAAAGGATGGTGGGTTTGATTGGGTTGGGTCAGGTCATAGAGTGGAGAATCTTCAATCAAACCCAGTAATGGTTGGTGGGTTCGATTGGGTTGGATCATTGAGTAGAAAATCTTCGTTCTGAGTTCTGAATCAAACCCAGTAATGGTTGGTGGTTCAATTGGGTTGGGTCATTGAGTGGAAAATCTTCGTTTAGAATCCAACACAGTAATGGTTGGAGGGTTCGATTGAGTTGGGTCATCGAGTGGAGAATCTTGTTCATAATCCAACCCAGTAATGGTTAGTGAGTTCGATTGGGATGGGTCATCGAGTGGAGAATCTTCGTTCATAATCCAACCCAATAATAGATGGTGGGTTCCATTGGGTTGATCATCAAGTGGAGAATCCTTCATTTAGAAGGACTGAAAAGCTATTTCTCTATGTTAATTAAATTGGGTCAAAGACAACATCAGCTAATATCATTGCTTAAAGTAGCAAGGTCACGTCAACACACTCTCACAACCAATTGATTATAAAGAAGATCGAGAAAATGACAAGAAATAGCAGATCATAAGAAGTTAGCAAAGGCCACCAAAGATCCAAATCACATGCAAACTCAAGAGAAGGACGATTATTCCCATAATTATGCATAGCCAAATCCTTTCAAATGATGTGAAACATAGATGTCACATCGAAACTGATTAAAGAAGACAAGTAAGCGTTGTCAATACCCTACTAGATACCCACATGTACCATTGCATTACTACACTAATTTCATGTTCTTGGCCCATTCACTAAGAACTTATGGCTAAGTTCACAATCAAATCAAGAACACAAGCAAAACAAGCAGAAGAACCAAAGAAGAACCCAACATTTTACTCAATGAAACAAAGATCTTTTCCTTCAAATCAGCACCAATGACAGTATATGAATTGTCCACTTCTCAAGTTGTTGTTTAAATTATGCATTCCGATGGGGCCAGCTGCGGAGGCATTATTATTATTATTATTATGAGTGTTTGATGTCAGCTGCTAGCGCTCCCTTTTGCTCGTTGTGCAGAAGAAGCTACCCACACAGACTGATCTGAGCCAAAGACTGCCTTAATTTTGAAGTTGATATCACTTCTGTTTGTCAACAGTGGTACTCAATGATTAGCCATTGTTTTATTCTCTTCTTCTTCTTCTTCTTCTTAAATGTTTCAAGAACAATTTGAATGAAGAAAGGAATGGGAAGCATTAATAATGCCCATTTGTCCACCCAAATGCTGTTCAAAAAATCTACAACAGATTTGACATAACAACAATAATGATAATAATCAAGAAAAAAAAAACATATGAATTTAATGCATTATGATGATGATCTGTATGGCACATAGATATTCTGGGGATTTGTAAAATTTGCAGACGCCACGCAGACAATGTCTGTCTTGAAACCTCCAAAACAAGACAACCTCATTGGAACTCAATCTCTCTTCATTTTTCAACCAAAACCCTTAATTTCTCTTCCTATTCTTTCTTACACACACACACTCGTGCTGTCTTGAGAACAACAACAACAACAAAAACAAACCCTAATTACCCTCTTGTTTCCCTCAATGTTTTCCCTTTGTTCCCTTAAATTCTTTAGTATATTGTCTTGCTTTTGTGTTTCTTCATTTCTTTACAATTTTCCGAGATTTTTACGTTATTATCATAGTTTGTAACGTTTTATTTTTCAAATTTGTTTAAAAGATTTGATATCTATGAAGATATGCATCATTATTTAAGGTATTCAAGATCCCTACGTGCCCACATCCCAACCAGACAAATTAAAGTACGAAAATTCTAACCGGGAATGGGTACAAATTCAAAACGTATGGATATATATGTCCAAAAAAGAAAAGGAAAACCTAAATCCTGCCATACTTCTTTTGCTATCAACACACATCTCAATGTTTTGATCACTAAAAAAGTCGCACCATAAGAATTCAGCCATACCCATAACCCCAAAATCAATCTTTTCGTGCGATTATGAACAAAAATCTCAACCGAACGAGAGTGATTCTAAAGACATGAGGGTTAAGAAATGGTTTGAAAAAGTTGATAATTACTCCATACACCAACAAAGTGGACGTGAGGTATCAAGATGAATCATGACCCACATCGAGATCGAGATCAAGAACGAAGGTTTAAGATTAAGGGTTTTTGTGGTTATAACCATTGGATTCTAGATGGAAGATGGAGGTGAGAGATGAGTTGGGATTATTCATTGGATTTTAAGAAAAATGTACTTTTGATCACTGTTTCATTCATCATCTCTTGTGTTGCTCATATGCTCATTGCTCCCACAGCCCCTTTTGATCATCCTATCATATCATAATTCCTTCTTGACTTTTCTCTCTACATAGATTTTGTCAGAAATTTTGTAAGGATTTTATTTTATTAATTTTTACACTGCAAGAGAGAGAAAGAGAATGAGAGAGAAAGAGAATGAGAGAGAAGAAATGCATAGATTTTTGAGGATTCATTGGAAGAGTGGAGGAGGGTTTTGAGGAAATGGAAGAAGGGGAAGGCGACCACACCTTCTCATATTCCAATGCAAATGTTGGGATCTTTTCCATCTAATACCTTCTATTAAGAAGGATTTAGGGTTCCGGGAATTATAAAATGGGTGTCGGGTCATGTTATACAAAATGCAAGAGAATGTTGAGGTCATCGGGTATCAAACCCATGAATTCTAGATCTTAGTCTCAATCTTGGTCCATTACTATACTCGTTGTTACCGTAATTATGACTACATTTGATTACTAAATGATCCAATGTTATATAGCTTAGATGGATGGGAATAAAAGCATCATCAAAATTTAATCATAAGACTAAAATATGACCAACATACTCCCATCTTTGATCATTAAGGCACAAACAAAAGGCGACTTTAAAGAATTTGATAACATCAAAGAATATATATATTTATATTTTTAATAATTAAATGTAATACAAATAATCAGTGAGCAGCTTTAGTTTTACTTTTTCTTTACCATGATATGCCATAATGATGATCACCTTTAGTAGGCTTTTTCTTTTTTTCTTTTTTTTTTCTTTTTAATTTTAATTTAAAGAGGAATACATAATATATTGTATATATGAAGGTGGTGGATAAGGCACCTGATGTGCACGTGTTGAATGAGATTTAGCATCGTATGGCACATGGATTGAGTCAAAATATAATGATGTTTTATGGTTTTGGGGAAAAGCATGTAAAAGTAACTCCAATCTTTCAAATCTTTTAAATGTCACTCCTGCCATAAATGTCCCGTGCCTACATTCGAATGAGAGCGATTTTAAAGATAGAATGACTAAGAAAAACTTAATACCAACCAGAGGTGCACCTTCCTTTTTAGTACACTCTAAAATTAAGCATGTTTTGCTTATAGATATGTGAGTGAGGAAAAAACATGTGGGATAGTCTTCACTTTTAAAAATAAAGAGTAAGTGACGTAATCATATCTTAGGAGGTGTACGAGAATGTCAGGACACATATGTTGCTAGTTGAACTATGATTTTGCTAGACTTGTTTTAATAGCTAATTTACGAGGATTATGTTTTAGTTTTTTAAAGTTTTTCTTTTGTGAAAAATAAGGAGATATTTTGTTTTTTTTTTTAATAATTTTTTTTTTTGTTTGTAAGAAAACATTTTACCTAAACAGGTTTTTTTAAACAAAAAATGTTTTATAACCTAATATCCAAACAATTTCTAAGATTGTTTTATGCTTTTTTTTTTTTTTTTTCATTTTTAATATTTTAAAAATAAATTTAAAATCTTAGAGATCTTTTTTTCCCTTCAAAATATTGTTAAGCCAATAAAAAATTAAAACTTTATTTTCGACTAATGAAATTAGGCTATAATCTTATAAATATGTTTTAAATTTAAATAAACATAATAATGAAATGATTACAAAATTATCTGATTTTTTAAAAGTTACCAAATATGAAATTATTATTAAAGACATAATTTATCCCACTCATAACTGTAACAGCCAAGTTCACCACTAGTAGATATTGTTCGTTTTGATCTGTTACACATCATTGTTAGTGTCACAGTTTCAAAAACACGTCTGCTAGAGAGAGGTTTTCACATCTTTGTCACGGATGTTTTGTTTCTCTCTCCAACCGATGTGGGATCTCACAATATACCTCCTTGGGGCCAATGTTTTTGCTGGCATACTACTGATGTCTAACTCTATACCATTTGTAACAGTTCAAGCTCACTACTACTAGTAGATGTTGTTTGCTTAAACCCGTTACGTATCGCTATCAGCTTCACAGTTTTAAAACACATTTGCTAGTAGAAATATTTCATTCATCTCTCCAATCGATAGAATAAAAATGAAACGAAAATAGATACTACCACGAGAATGGGAGGTTAAAATCTAAACCCTAGATGGTGCTTAACACTAAAAAGAAAAAAAATATATAGTAATTGGCCATGCCATCCCTCTTCAATTTGGTGCTCTTATTGTATACATACACATAGCACAATCTCTCTCCCACTCTCCACCGTTCACTTCCTTCAGTCATCTTCTTCTCTCTCTCTCTCTCTCTCTCTATAAAAGCATTCCACCATTAAAGCCACCACCACACCTAAACATATTAAAAAGAAGAACAAATAAGAAAAGAAACTATTCCCTCTCCTTCCCACAGATCCCTTTTCCCATTAATCCCACTTCCACCATGGATGATCCTTCCACTAATTTCTTCACAGATCTCTTCAAATTCAACTATCCCACTAATTTCCACCACCACCACCACAACCCTCCTTCTTCAAATCCTCCTCCCAATTTCTTCCACGCGCCGCCCTCCTCTCCTCCACTCCGGCAGGCCCTCCCCCTCCTCCGCCTCAGCCCCACAAGGTCATCACAAGACCACCACCTCTCTTTTACTTCCTCCTCCGCCATGGAAATTGACAACAACAACAACAACGATAACGAGGATGTTTCGGTGACGGTTGCGCTTCACATAGGGCTTCCAAGCTCTAATGCCTCAGAAATGGCAACCCTTTTGGTGTCTGATAATAATAATCAAAATGAGGAAGAAGATCAATTAGAAGAAGAATTAGAAGAAGAAGAAGATGAAGATGAAGAACAGCAACAAGCGGGTATCACAATTTCTGGATTCTCTTTGAGTAGCAGACTCAATAAAGGACAGTATTGGATCCCTACTCCTTCTCAAATCCTCATTGGTCCTACTCAATTTTCTTGTCCTGTTTGTTTCAAAACCTTCAATCGATACAACAACATGCAGGTAAACCTCTCAAAATCCCATCTTGTATGTTTTGTTCTTGCAAATTTCAAATTTTTCTTAATGGGTTCTTCTTATTTTGCATGGATTTGTTGTTGATTATGATGGGGTTTGATTCAATTAATGTTTAATTTTTGTTTAGTGATTGAACAACACAGGCAATGTTCTTTGTGCCCCCTCCCTCTCTCCCCTTTTAGTATCTTGAACTCTGTGCTTCCCTTGTTTTAGAGGTTCTTTTTTGGGTCTTGCAAATTTTCTTTTGTTTCTCTCAAATGGGTCTTCCAAAGTTTTGATTTTTATGACACTAGAGCCTTCAAAATCTCAACTTTGTTGTGCTAATACATTGTTTGATATGAACAAAATTGAAAAAAAATCCCTATTATAGATGCACATGTGGGGGCATGGTTCACAATACAGGCGAGGCCCGGAGTCCTTGAGAGGCACACAGCCAACGGGCATGCTCAGGCTGCCGTGCTACTGCTGCTCGCCGGGCTGCCGCAACAACATCGACCATCCGAGAGCGAAGCCATTGAAGGACTTCAGAACCCTTCAAACTCATTACAAACGCAAGCATGGAATCAAGCCATTCATGTGTAGGAAATGTGGTAAAGCCTTTGCTGTTAGAGGGGATTGGAGAACTCATGAGAAGAATTGTGGGAAGCTTTGGTATTGCATTTGTGGCTCTGATTTTAAGCATAAGAGATCGCTTAAAGACCACATCAAAGCCTTTGGGAATGGACATGGTGCTTATAATAGTAACATTAATAATAACGATGATCATCGTCAACAACAACAACATCATCATCATCATCATGCGTTCGATGAGGAGGACGAGTCGGCATATTCTGAAGTTGAGGAAGATCATGATTGATTTTGTTGTGTTCTAAGGGAGATTTGAGTATGTTTTTTTTTTTTTTTTTTTTTTTTTTTTTTTTTTTTTTTTTTTTTTTTTTTTTTTTTTTTTTTTTTTTTTTTTTATCTATATGGGGTTTAAGGGAACCTTATTCTTACATATTTATAGTATATACATGTTACAAAATCCAGATGGCTCTTTTTCCTAATTGAATCGACCCTTTTTAATCAACTTCCTGTTCGATTGTCATGCTCGAGTTGCCATAGGTTCTTTGTTTCCAATGTCGGTATATCCTTTTAGTTAGATAGAAGGTGAGCGATTTGAATCTCTGATCTGGGAAGTAGCTTGGAGACATGGTGGAGAGTGTTAGCAGGTAGCTAAGGTTGAGATTTATGAACATGTTTTGTTTTTGTGAGATCCTACATTGGTTGAAGAGATGAACGAAGCATTGATAAGGGTGTGGAAACCTCTACCCAATAAATTCGTTTTAAAACTTTGAGGAGAGGAAAACTCAAGTTGAGCTATTACAAATGGTATTAGAGGCAAACATTAGGTAGTGTGACAGCGAGGACGCTAAGCCCCCAAGGCTGGATTATGAGATCTCACATTCATAGGAGAAGGGATGAAACCTTCCTTATAAGGGTATGAAAACCTCCCTTGAGTATACGCTTTTTAAAATCATGAGACTGACAGCGATACATAACGGGCAAAAGCTGACAATACCCACGGGTGGACGCCCATGTTACTTTTTTGATGTGTGTTGAAATGTACGTTGGAGAGAGAAAATAGAGGTGCATGGAGGGAGATATGTAGGCGAATACATGGAAGCCATAAATGGTGCGAGTAATTAGAGTTCCATAAAAGGTCAAAGAAGGTTGATTGATGTGCGTAAAAGAAGACATCCACTGTTCATCTCACAATACCCACCTCATTATATATATATATATACACATTCAGCTGTTTTCAGGCTTTTTTGTTCTATCTTTTTTATGATTAGTTTTCCCTTTAAGATCTTCATGATGGTTCGTATAATTCACCAACTCATCCCTAAAATTTCAAAGCTTAAAGAGAGAGCCAGTGTATATTTATTATGTTCTTGAGTTTGATTCGATTTTCAAATATCTAAATTCTAGTTATTATGGAAAGCTATCGAAATACTAGCTTAGGCCGATCTCATTGGAGTCGAACTTTTTAAGCTTATATAGAAAATAAAAATATAATTTTGGAATTTCCTTATCAGTTTAATCATAATTTAGTTGATAAAACATTAATTATCATATAAAGGTTGATTTACTAATAATTACAAACATATGGGAAAAAAACATTATATGTGGTTATAATTATGTTACATAAATCAATGTACGCTGTTCTTTCTTTTATGTAAATCAACCACAAACCCAATATCTTTAAAAAAAACGACGAACATCGTATCGGCAAAGATATAATGAGACCCATTACTTGGAAAGAAAACGACATAGCTACAAAGAGACCCACTACTAATATAAGAATGGGATGAATATGTGAGATCCCACATCGATTGGAGAGAGAAAAACAAAGTATTCTTTATAAGAGTGTGGAAACCTCTCCTTAACATATACGTTTTACGATGATACGTATCTACTAACTGTGGACTATAACGGGGTAATGAGATGTTAAGACGGGTGTAAATAAGAAGGGGATTTGCAGTGGAATATATAGTGGTGGCAGCTTTTGGAGAGAGAGAGAGAGGGGCAGAAGGGTAAGGATAAGAAAGAAGAAGAGTGAAGAAGGGAAGAGGAGGGTATGTGGGGACATAAATATTGTACAAATGCTTCCTACACTGCATACACACATCCCTCTTCTGATGGATAAACTGTGCATTTGATACGACATTTCACTAACTCTTTGACTATTACTCTCTCTTTCCTTCTCTGTCAGACACTCTCTTTTGAATCTCTGCCTCTTCTTCTTCTTCTTCTTCTTCTTCTTCATATCTTCACCATTTTCTTCTTCTCATCTTCTACTTTTCATCTCTCCCACTCATACCTTGTTTTTCTTCGTAACCCTTTTCAAATCAATCATCATATATACTTGTCTTAATGTGAGATCCCATATCAGTTGAAAAAGATAACGAAACATTCCTTCTAAGGGTCGGTAAATCTCTCCTTACTACACGGAGAATACCTACTAGTGATAGGCTTGGGCTGTTACAAATGGTATCAGAACTAGACACTGGACGATGTGCTAGCGAGAATGTTGGCCCCTAAAGGAGGTGGATTGTGAGATCCCACATCAGTTGGAGAGGAGAACGAAACATTTCTTATAAGGGTGTGAAAACCTCTCCTTAGTAGACATGTTTTAAAACTGTGAGGCTGATGGTAATATGTAACCGGTCAATGTATTGTATATGTATGGTATACGTAGAAGAAAGGTTCCTACCCCTTTGGGAAATAGGAGACCCTACCACAATTTGAGGCATTCCTCCTTTTAGTGTATAAATGGGTTTAAGGGAAAGGCTTTCCTTTAAGGATAGTGCATGATTGATTGTGTTCATGAGATGTCTCTTTCCTTCTTCAAAGGCTTTGTCTATAAATGTTTACATATCATACCCATCAACACAAAACCTATTCCCTTTAATCACACCAAACCAAACCAACCCAAAAAGGACACGCTTACTCTTATTTATTCAATCATACATCCTCTTCTTCTCTTTACTTTCACCTCAAAATATGCAATGGCTTCCCCACTCCCTCTCTTTTTGGACTCAACCACAACATGCTATGCTTCCCATACTCTGTCTACTCTCAACCTAAAATTAGGTTAAACAATATTCTCGTCCATAGACTTTCGTGAAAGTAATAGTTCCTAGCTTTTGTATGTAACATCTTTGTCTATGTGTTCCAGGGGTTAAATTGGAGTTCTTAGGATTGAATCACTAAAAACAAAAGATGCAATTTATTGATATAGGCATCTTATTTGTAGGATTCCTCAATTCGAATGTGGTTTCGATTCATTTATGTACTCTTCTGGTAGACTAGAAGTGACGTATTTACCTAATAAAAACACATGCAAATGGTAGGTAAACTTGAAAAGGAAAAGGGTTTTTATTTTTTTAAAAAAAGGAGCACTTTCAACAGCTTCCTATAAGGATCACATCCCATTTTGCCAAAGTAGAAAAGGATATTACAATGCAAAAAGTTGAATCAAAGGGGAAACAATAAAGGAAATGTGGGGAATGGTGTGGTGTGGTGGTGAAGTTCCAAATGCATTAATATTCTTTGCTTAAAACAAGTAAGAATGTTGAAGGAGGCTTATTATGTGGATGATCATACACCAATTTGGGTATCTCTAATGAAGTGAGAGTAGGTCATGAGGGCATCAAAATGAAGACATCTTTGGTCTTTTTCTGTTACTTTCTGCAAACTTTAGATGGTGGAGCAAGCTGCAGTGTTTTCAAATCATCTTCTTCACCTATCATCTGTGTTCTTACTTCATTACGTACGTACGGTTTTAAAACGCATCTGTTAGAGAGAGGTTTTCATCTCCTATGAGGAATGTCTTTTCCCTCTCCAACCGATGTGGGATCTCACAATAATTACAAATGGTATCAAAAATAGACACCGGACGGTATGTCAATGAGAACGCTGGCCTTCGAGGGATGTGACTGTGACTGTGATATCCCACATTGGTGGGAGATTGGAAAAAAACATTTCTTATACGAGTGTAGAAACTTATTCCTAGTAGACGCATTTTTAAACTGTGAGGCCAACAATGATACGTAACATGTCAAAGTGGACAATATTTATTATCGATGATAATTTGAATTTAGTTTCATTTTCTCGATGAATAATGATTGGGCTACAAATATCTCTTTGGTATGGTATGATAGCCAGTTGCTTTAGTTCATGTGGGACTTTATGTCAATCTTTCCACACCTTTTGGGTCTGAAATTTGCTTTGGGAAATCCAATGAAAGACTCAGCTTTTGTTGTTACTTAATGAAGGAAGATGAGGCAGCAGAGAGTTGCTTTTAGCTCATATGCTGCGTCCTCAACTACATCTTTGTTTCCAACTCTTAAATTGCTCACTTTAATGAACATTCTCAACCAGAAGTTTATAGTGCAGGACCTACCATGTAACAAAAATGGGATCGGCCCTACGCACACGGGACAAAGGTTGGCCCTTCTACTCGTGTAGTGCGTGTATGGTCCAGTCCCGTCCATGGTGGGATCAGCTATGATATACTAAACTCATTCTTGGAGACGCTCATTTACAAGATCTTGCAGCTCCCTCTTGGGCACGTTCCTCTTAGAGTCGGTATAGTCTAATCGAAGTCAACTGACTCACATAGAATATAGGGTACCATTTTTGTTATGCTCCAATCTCAATATGTTAGGCCGAAGAAGTGTCACGAGAAGATTGTAGGTGAAAAAGACATTGCTTTTGTTGGGATCGAATTTAATTTGGCTTGGTGAGTTACATGCATTTAATATGATTGAACTAGATATTGTATTCTATGAGAATTAATACTTTAAACCAATTTGAATATAAGCTTAAATCGACGTTAAACCTATGTGAACAAGGGTTGGGCATGTCGAATTAGGGTGAACTAGAGCTTGATGTGTTGAACCGCATGTTAACGGAAGCTAGGGTGCGTCAACCAAAGCTGACTAGGTCAAACTGCACTTAATGTGTTGAACCATGAACATAGGCTAAGCGGGTTTGTCTCTGAACTTCGGTCATCGACCCAAGTTTAAAAGTATTATTGAAATTTAAAAAAAAAAATTATTAATTTATAAAATTTAAAGGTATTTTTAAAGAAAAAAAAAAAAAAAAACCCTTAATTGGACCACCAAAATTTGGATGTAAGCCCAAAGCCCCACCCGATTTCAGTAACAAGACACACTCATCTCTGTTTTTACCGTCTTATCTTTCCTTCCCACCGTCGTTTCTTACACCCATTTTTCTCCATCGTCGCTGTCTCGGGAAGCTTCTTTCACATAACTTCGCTCATCAGGCGCCGCCACTCGCCTTCTTTCTTCCTTCTGCCCAATCAATTCTTCTACTTCTAATCAGGGTATTGTTTCTAATCGCAGTTCTTCTTTTTCTTGTTTCGCCAATCCTCTCGCTTGCAGACTGAATTTCTGATGTCAGGATTGAATTGAATACGCTTAGATACTGTATTGTTCTTCTGGGTTTCATTGTTTGTTGGAAATTGAATTTCCATTTATGTATACTGGACTTATTGGGAAATTCGCTTCACAGAGTTTAAAGTAATTGATGAAACTACTTTCCATTTTTGGTTGTTGTGTGGTTTTCGGTTCTTGTGTGCGCCGCCATTTTTTGTTTGGATGATCTAACTTTGCAAATGGGGTATTGTTGATGTTTTGTATCTGCTGTTCTTCGTGTCTGTCCCATTGCTGATGAATTTTCTGCGATCGTCTATCTTTTCTTTTTCTGCTTGTTTCTCGCGTGATTTAGTTAATTTTTCTAGAAATTGGTAACTTTCAGATGGATTTGAGAGATAATAGTGAAAGATGTCTTCTGACAGTGGACGCAGATGAGGGAGGATCATTTGAAAGTCCAGCAGCAACGGAATTAATTGAATGTGATGGAGATATTATTCTTGAGCCTTATGAGGGCATGGAATTTGAATCTGAAGATGCTGCTAAAATTTTCTATGATAAGTATGCCCGTCAAGTGGGGTTTGTCATGCGTGTGATGTCCTGTCGTCGTTCTGAAAAAGATGGGAGGATACTTGCCCGACGACTTGGATGCAATAAAGAGGGATATTGTGTCAGCATTCGAGGTAAATTTGGGGCAGTTCGGAAGCCTCGGGCGAGCACTCGAGAAGGCTGTAAGGCAATGATTCATGTCAAATATGATAAGTCTGGGAAATGGGTGATTACAAAATTTGTAAAGGAGCATAATCATCCTCTTGTGGTTTCGCCCCGTGAAGCTCGACAGACGATGGTTCGTGTTTCTCTTCCCCCGTTCTTTTACTTCCATCTAACATCATATATTACAATTGTAGATTTGCTTACTTTTGCTCTCAATTAGACTGTATTCATTTCCAGTGTGCTTTCCTTGCTATTCTGCACAGATGTTATGGAATTGGAAATATTTGGAATCTGAATTTCTTTAAACAAGGAGAGCTATTTAATTGATCGTTCAATAGAATCAATTATACTGTTTAGGGAGATGGAAGTTAAAACATCTTTGCCTCTACATCTTTCTTTCCAACTGTGTAACAGCCCAAGCTCACCGCGAGATGATGTTGTCCTCTTTGGGCTTTCCCTTCTGAACTTCTCCTCAAGATTTTAAAACGCGTCTGGTAGGGAGAGGTTTCCACACCCTTATAAAAAATGCTTTGTTCCCCTCTCCAACCGATGTGGGATCTCACAGTTCACCCTCCCTTTGGGATCAGCGTCCTTGCTGGCACTCGTTCCCCTCTCCAATCAATGTGGGATCTCATAATCCACCCTCCTTCGAGACTTAGCGTCCTTACTGACACACCGCTCAGTGTCTGGCTCTGATACCATTTGTAATAGCTCAAGCCCACCGCTAGCAGATATTGTTCTCTTTGGGCTTTCCCTTACGAGCTTCCCCTCTCAAGGTTTTAAAATGTGTCTTCTAGGGAGAAGTTTCCACACCCTTATAAAGAATGCTTTGTTCCCCTCTCCAACCGATATGGGATCTCACAAACTGTTAATGGGGACTCTTCTGTAAAAGGACCACGTGTCACGTATATAAACGGTAGTTGTTACCTTGCTTTAAGGGAGAGGCTTCTAGTTTCGTCTGCCTTTCTAATCTTTGTGCCATCCTACCAAATTGCAATGTTACAAGCTGTATTTATCTTTCTCCTTACTTTGGCCTATATTTTAGACTGTCCTTGACTTTAGCTTCTTATTGCTCAATGTTTTGTTGGGGGTTGTTTTATACCCTCCTGGTGTCTGACACCATCTAGGGTTTTTTCTTTTTCCATCATGAAAGTATTGTTGTGAGATCCCACATCGGTTGGAGAGGAGAATGGAACATTCTCCATAAGGGCGTGGAAATCTCTCTCTAACAGACGCATTTTAAAAACCTTGAGGGAAAACCCGAAAGGAAAAGTCCAAAGAGGACAATATCTACTAGCGGTGAGCTTGGGCCGTTACAATTGTTGTTGTTATTATTATTATAATAAAGAAATTATGTTACACGAAGTTTCACTTTTAGCGGTTTATTGAACTCTTGTGTGTACAGTTTATTGATGCCCATGTCACTGCTATCTCTTTTACTTGGGAGTATGGTGTGACCATGGTTTTCATTTAGATATATTTGGAAGAAACCTGCCCCTTTAACCAACTCAAATGAACCAATCAGTTAAATAAAACCAACCAGCCATTCCATCTAGCACATTTAGTTACTCATGAATATTCTACTATCCTTAGTTTGGGAAACTAGTGAACTTACAAGAGTTCTTCGGATTATTTGTATTCTCACACCTAAAATCTTTCTGTGGGTGATAGATCTATATTTATGTTGTATCATATGATTAAATGAGCTGATTTTGAATTTTTGCTTGCAGGATGAAAAAGATAAACAAATACAGGAACTCACTACAGAGCTGCGGAATAAGAAACGGTTGTGTTTGACATACCAAGAACAGCTCGCCGCATTTATGAAAATTGTCGAAGAGCATACCGACCAATTATCGAGAAAAGTTCAGAATGTAGTTACCAACCTTAAGGAATTTGAGTCCCTTGAGCAAGAATTGTTGCATCCTAGATAACCCAGCCACAGAGTGAGTATTTGATTGCCTATTGGCTGTTATGCTTCCCCCCAATATTGTCTTTCATCTTAATTTCTTTTCACTGCATCGAAGGTATATCCTATGTCATTTAAGTACAACTATATTCGTATGCAGTGTCGTCGGTGGCCATCGATATTTGGAGCTTGGTAGCATATGAAGAATAGCGACCACCCTTCAGAAAGCTCCCAAAAGGGATTCTTAACAAATCTGCCCTGCCCCACCCCAAACTCGGAGCAAGCGATGGAAACGAGCGTTATAGAGGAATGACATCGTAGCAAGCACTGGCATGAAGAAGAAGTATTTGCAGACATCTGAGAGGAGAGATAATTTTGTAATGTAGAGACAATTTGATTTACCTCCATGAATGGATTTTATTGAATAACCAATGCAGTTCTTCAGAAATCTCTGATTGTGCATATACTGAATCATCCAAATCCCATCCTAGAATGCCCACATAGCCATAATGTTCTTCCTGTTTTCATTTAAGGTCACTTGGGTGTTCTTATAACTTGGTGTTCATTAAGATCTAGGTTAGTAAAAGCTTTAAAGTGCTGAGTTAATGGCTGTTGTTGTAAAAAATGGTATCGAAAGTTCTATGAGGTCTCGGTGTCGTGTTGAAAATGTTTTAAAGCAAGTTGATAACTAGTAGAGGACTAGATAACTAGTAGAGGACTATTCAGAATATTATGTCGATAAGATACTAATTACAATCCAAGTATTTCTAAACGGGACAAAATTTTGTGCCATTTTTTTGGACTTTTCAACATCCTTGCATGTTCGTTTCTACATGTAAACACTATAAATAATACAACTATAAGCTAACAATACAAAATCTTGTAGCATCCAAATTCACTGCAGACAATCTCTTCCAATAACAACTAATTAATTGATCGGTAATTAAATTAGTCGATCAAATAACTCAAAACTCAAGATATGAGGCCAAAGGGACTCATCAGACATCGATTTTCTGCATCAAATCAAAACTACCGGTTCCCATCTTTACTGGCAAACCAAGACAGATTCTAGCAGATGGAGTTTCCAAGGTGTCTACTTCCCCATGGTATGCAGCTTGAACAATGAACCTTGCAGCCGTCTCAAAAGTCATTCGACTGAAAGGAGATATCGAGTCGGCTATGCCTCCTAATCGATTCATTGGTCGGTACCCACCAGAATGAGTCATATAATCAGCAATTAGAGTTAGATGTCTAATATTGACTGATATCCCATATGAACTGAAAATGTTTCGAATTTCTCTTATTATTGTTTCCCTAGCAGCTTCCACTCCATATGTTTGTAGCATGGCATGAATGTCATTGGAATATATATATCTAGCATCAAGCTCATCTTGTAACTCCCAGAGCGTTTTAAAGTCGACTCCAGTCGTCTGCAATGCAGGAACTTTTTCCTTTTCTTCTGGTTTGATATTCTTTCTTACCTTAATATCATTCCCGTGGTATATTACCTGACCTTCCTTGCAAGTAATTTGTTGACAGCGGATGATTTTGCCAGAGCTTTGGATAGACACCTTCTGGGCCGTTCTCTGAGCAATCTGATTTCACAGGCCAGAAAGGAAGTTCATAAAGTGATCAGTGGATAAATAAAAAACTCACAATGTATTATGAGAAACAGATTTACACCAACAATTTTCTAGACTATCGAATGAGCATAGAAGAATTACATCCACCCTAAGAGTAACTACAGGAATATGTGTGCTATTGCTCGTCAATAGTTTTAGCGCGCGCAGGTTTGAATTTGGAAGTATAATGTTCTCAGGACAACTGCAATATGGGTCCGGTGTGTAAGTAGAACCTATAAGAGATTGTCTAGCTAAAGGTTTTGAACCTATTAATTTGGATTCGTCTATCAAATATCTCTCAAAGACACCTCTCCAATACGGTGATAGATACCAAGGACCCATGGTTTTTCTTTAAGCTAGAGTCTAAAGCAGCACAAGGCTCCACCTCAAAGAGATTGAAGAGGCATTGTTCGTACTAACACGTGCAAGAGGTTAAGAAGAGTTGTTCAACAGAAATGGGGAATGACATGCAAACTTTCAAAGGCACCAAGTGAATTGGCCTTCACTCAGATAATTTAACTAATATATTCTAGATTATTTTGGCATCTTGTCATAGACGCTTACATACTTGCCTATTATGAACCAAACAGAATAAATTAACAAAAGGAAAAGAGCCAACAAAAATACTGAAACATATCAAACTGATTAAACAGATTACTTCCTACAAATACATAAGTGCTAACATAAGGAACAAAAAAACCAGATCCAGATGAAAATAGACGAGTGTGAGAAAGTACCTGCGTCAGTAAAATATGAGGTTCATTGGTAAACTTAAAATGGACTTCAAAATGATTTCCCTTCGCTGCCACAAAAATTGCTCTATCATAGTCCTTTCTGGAGAATTCTGATTTAGCTTTCTTCTTTTTGTTTGATGTTTTGGTTGTTTTCCCTTTCGAATTGGACTTTGAGACATCTATTATCACAGTCTGATCCTCAGATGTAGCGTCTTTAACAATTTCCATCGTATCATCATTGGTTATATCAGCCTCATCACCTTGATCAACTTCACTTTCAAATCCTGCTGATGGTTCTTTCACATTGAGTTCCTCTTCCGAATCATCTTCATAATCCATCTCATCAGTAGTTCGAAGTTTTTGTTTCTTCATGTCAAAACCAAGATCTTCAGCAACATCTAAGTCATTGCCAACATCATCATCATCATCATTTTCTTCACGTTGTGAGCTACTTACTTTATCGCTTTCACTCAAACCCTTTGATTGTGAGTCAGGCACAAAATTTTTTATACCACTAATTCGTGATAGTAAGAGCATTTCATTTTGGATTGAATCTTCCAACTCCCTAACGAACACAAATTCCAAAATTTCTTCCAAATCTTCTGAAGATACATGAGCATGCTGTGGATTACTTTCAAGTGGGTAAAATCTTATTTCAAGCTTATAAATACTACATATCTCTCGCTTCCGTTGCGAAAATGGCACAACAGTTACTTCCATACTTTCTATTATGTCAGCTACTGTAATTTTCTTCAACTTATTAGCAAGACACTTTGCATCATCCCTGTCATATAACAGTCAATTTTTATGGTTCAGAATAATATTGACCAACATGTTATAATTTGTACTTGTATACTCTCCTTTATGTCAAGTAACCAATTGTAAGGTTAGTTTGACCTACAAAATCACCAAGTTAACTTGTGTCCGCAAATTCACATACATTGCAATCTATAAATTTCTCTCCGCCATGGTTCAATAAGTTTCAAGCTTTACCTTTATTTCTTTTTCTTTTTCTTTTTTTTTAAATGGAAACAGTATAAAAAAAATACTAATGTAATTGTGGCCGAAGTGACTATGTAGACTGAGAATATTAACTCTATGGATACAACATATACACTAGTAATAACGAGATTAGATAAATAACCATGTAGCAATGAATCAAGAAACAGTAATTTTAACTTACATTGAGTAGCCCTCTCGCAATGGGCATGTCATAATTGGTGTCTTAATATCTTGTGAAGCAGTCATCAAAATCTCTTGAAGGCGGGGAATTCCAAGAGTCACATTCATCTCACCACGCCCAGCATGATGAAATGTGTTCAACCTAAGACACATTTCATTTCAACAACAAAAGAGAATGATAGTGAAATCAGCCACTATATAGTCAATCTAACGGGATAATAATTCCTCTTTTTTAAAAAAGAGTGAGAAGGTGACTTTTTTTCCTGAACTTTTGTTAAGTATACTCGCTTATCAGCCAACTGATTTCTAACCAAAACAGCCAGGGAAAACTAAGTTCATTCTTATCCAAGTATCAACACTAATTACGATGACTTATTCCTAATATATTAAGAAAAGCTTAAACTGAAGTCTTATTCGAAGAGAAATAACATGATTAAAGCCTGAAAGTAAGAAACAGGGTGGGGGGTCTTACGTCATTTGTGTTGATGGCTCTCCGATAGACTGAGCAGCGAGTACACCAACTGGTTCTCCAGGCTGTGCAAGACTTGACAGGTACTTATTCTCCAGCAGCCGGATAAAGTCATCTTTTTGTCCCAGACCAGGAGCCTTATCCTTCGCAAAGGAATTATATATGACTTCTGCTTTCTCTTGAAGAACTGAAGGCAGCTCATTGATGTATTGATTAAAGCTGTCAGGCTGATGATGACTTTTTTGGTAGATCATTTCGCAGTTCTGAAATAAAAATAGGTATGATCTAATCATTCAGAAAACACACAAACAATGAATAAAAAGCTCTATTAAGCATCCAGATTTTGAAGGTTACAAGTTCTTACAGCTGCAAGTGCTTCAAATTTTATAATAAAGGCATTTTTATGGACATCTACACCATCCTCGCCATAACGAAATTGAATAATGGAGCCATCTGCATCACGAACAGTATGATCGTAACCAACTTTTAGAGACTCCAGATTTTTAATAAGGCATCTTTGTAGATATCCACTCCGAGATGTCTTAACTGCTGTATCAACCAACCTATGAGAAGAAAAAAAAAAACTCATTGTTTATATGTCAATAAGATGTCAAGTAAATACTGATGAAAAAAGTTCTTGTATGTTGCTCCTTAACCAATAGAACAATCTATCTAAAAGCCATGAAGGGGGGCAAAAAAGAGGAACAGATAAAAGTAACTGAACGTGATATGGCCAAATTTGCAGTTTTAAGGATCTAACGTAACCAATTTCATTTGCATGGTATATTCTATTTAAAAATCATTAGTTCACTAATCAAGACCAGAATTGTATTTTTTATTCGTTAATTTCCCCTGTTATGGTATACTTTTGGCTTAATAATTCATTGTAACCATAATCTTATGAGTTACATATATATTAAGGAGTATAATTATGAACGCAGGAAACATGATGAATGTACTGCAATTTTCATCACTCCTCATTTATCCTTGAACAGCAGATTATAATGCAGATCAAGTATGCTTCCATAAAGGGGTTTTCTCACCTTGCTGTCCTTCAATGATGCTTAAAGATTATTAAAGTTCAGAAACCTCTTAGACGCAAAATTGAAATATCATAACCTGTTGGACAACTTTTAAACTTCTTCTAGTTTCTGGTCAGTGAACAAGATCAAATCTTGAACTGGAATGATTATAGGGAATCCAAACTTAACTTTAATTTTCAAATAGATAGGACGAGGTTCAATGCAGAAATATGATGCATAAACCAATTAACTCTTGGGAAGAAAAAACACAAATAGCTACGTCTGATTATGCCAAATCACACATAACATTCGTCAGGATTAACTTAAGTCAGAAGAAGTTTAATTTACCCTTCACGGCCAGCCATACAATGGAAGTAGTATTCTTGAGGTCGAAGACCAGTAAGAAAGCGATCAACAATGAACCCTCCAGCTCGTGATGCCCAATCCCAAGGCGGAAAGCAGGGTAATGTTTTTCCTGACACCATTCTAGGAACTCGTTTGCCTTCTAACTGCTGCTGGCCTAAATGTGAAGATATTTGTTGAAAATTTGCCTGTTCAAAGCAAGACAAATTAGAAAATATGGAAAAATCTCAAAACAGAGTAAAATTGTGATTGAGCATTGATTCAAATTTCCATCCGCATACACGTAAATGCAACAAATAAAAGAAAAATGCATTTACACTGCATCAACAAGTCGAAACAAGTTCAAGAAAGATCGTCAATTATGTCAAAAAAGATGGAATACAACGACAGGAGATCAGCATATACTTTTGTCTTCATTTGTTTCAAGGTTTCTTAGTTTTGTACTTTCATAGCCACATTTCATTTTCTTAGTACAAAGAATACCACTATCCTCAATTTTATCATGTTAAGGGAAACTAAAACATCATAGTTGCATCAGACAACAAGCAATCAACAGGAAAGAGAAAAAATTAAACCATTATTCGCTACAGGAAAAAATGACTCATGAAGCCTACATTTTGAACTCTAATTTTATATAAGCTTCTAATAACTTGCTAAATACTTACACCAACTCTTCTCTCTTCTTTTCCTTTTTATTTAAAAAAGAAAAAACAACAGCTACAATACCAACTACTACCTTAACTACTCGAAAGTAGCCACTTGGCAACCAAACAAACAAAAAACATCTGAGCTATTAAAATCAATAAGAGAGAATAACATTGCAGGGATTTGAATACATAAAACACATGACCTCTAATTCTGTTAGCATATTAATCTACCACAAGATCAAAATGTTTAAGCTAATAGATATATCAAATCTTATATTCTTAAGAATGCCGTACATAGAAAAACATTGCTCTACCACAAGATCAAAATGGAAGTTTTCTTCCCTTTAAAACTTCTTTCCTTACACCTAAAGCAAAGAGAAAGAAGCTTTAAACGGAAGAAAAGTTTTAAAAAAAGGAAGAAGACAGAAAAATAACACCACTGTGGAAGAAGCATTGTATTGGCAACAAATACCTAGATACTCAGAATTGCAAAGAAACCTACCGTACCACCTTTAGCCCCAGAAGTCGTCATCAGAGAAATGCAGTTGTTTACAGAGGGTTTTAGCAAGCCCTCAGACAACAAATCTTTGAGGACCTTAGAGTTACCAGTCCTTTCATTAAGTTGGCTGGTCATTTTTCTATCCAATGATGTTAATGCTGGCTCTCCATTATTGGAAATAGTTTTTTCAATATTCAACTGCAGTGCCATTGGATCTGCAAATCAAACATATCAAGTCCCAAATCCATCAAACTGAGAAAGTCCGAAGTAATAACAAATAGATTCCACACCAACAGTCAGGGCCATAATAAAAATATTTGTCATGGCAGGCTGAATCATGGAAAGTGTTTTGAGATGCAATTGTCAGGCCTCACATAAAGCTCATTTATGCTTGTCATTTCAAATCATTCTCTGGATATGTATCTACGTTAGTTGTTCTTCCTCGTAGGTCAAGATTTTAATCAGAGTATGTACGAGTAAATACCATATCCAAAGAAAATTTAAGGCATTTTTATGGAAGCTTAGTCATTGGAGAATCAATACAGCAGATCATCTTCAATGGAGAATCCTTAATTTCTTTAGCACAATAGTATTGAAACCTTAATTTGGAAGGCTTTGCATGGAGCATGATTATGCCTGTAAATATTTTATCTTTTATCATAGATTTTTGTGGGGAACCCTTTCAAAAGCGATAAGAAAACACTATGGTTTGCACTTAACTGTTCCTTTTTTTTTGGTCTCTATGGTGTGAAAGGAGTGGGTGGACTATAAATAACAATCATTCATTATTTAATTTGCCCTTTACTGGTGTGAATGCTCACACCCTTTTAAAAAATATAGTCGTTCTACAGTAATTTATTGCAATCCACCAATGGTAGTTGGGAGGCTTTATCTTCTCTTTTGTACACTTCATTCATCAATGAAATTTTTATGCTTCTTTCTATTAGAAAAAACACTTAATGCATCAAGCACTAATAGTGAACAGGAAAATACCTAATTTTTCTCCATCTTTAACCTTAAGAAATCCAAGATGCACCTGTTCACCGATATTCTCGCAGATTTGGAGTTGCTTCTCTCTCTCCTTGTCCATACATTGTATCAACAAAAGATCATCTACTCCACATGTGAACCCATGCATCTAAGAAATGAAAGATGAATGTACAAGTATTGTCAATGCCAACTTGTAAGATGAAAACTAGCTTGTGTTATTTTATATAAAGAGGGAGAGTAAACTTGAAATAGTACACCATCACCTGAAGATAAACAGTGAACAAACGACTCATTACAGAAAGCAAGACGCCAGCAGTATTTGAACCATAAAGCTCCTGCACTGTATGCACTAAGCCATAGTCACCAAATTGAGCCTTGTCTATGACACCACGCACCAATTCATTTTTAAATATTAGTAAGCTATCGTCATCTAAACGCTCTGCCTTCAATTTATCAAATTTTGAGTAATCATCTTTTTTAGAGTTCCCTTCATCAGGAACTTCTCCTTTTCCCAACTTAATTCCATTCCAAGTTCTTTTTCTCTTCGATTTATCACCATCGGCCACTTTGACTTTGGAAGAATTATTTCCCGTATGTCTGCACTTAAAAAAACCACGTGGAATTTTCACATCTTTTTCTACACAAAATGGTGGGGCCCCTCTAGTGATATGGTCCAATAAGGCTGTGACAACCTGTAAACCAAAAAAAAAAAACAAAAACGATTACGGTATCAGAAGTTAACCCATGAGGCCTGTGAACTCTTCACAAAACAACAAATTTCTATTCAAATCCAGGAGAAGTGCAAAGAAAAGCAAGCAAACAACGATAGTTTTCTAATATGAACTCATTTTAGAAACCTTGAGTGGGTTAACATTACTTACTCAAGCTCAAGTATCATAGCAAACATCTCAACAAAACACAAATCCTCTGATTACTAAAGTAGCACATGCCTACGAACTCCTAATATTTATTCTGTTTTTTTTTTCTTTTTGCATGATAAGATATATTTCCGTGTCTGCAACATTAATATGCAAGTATCTTATTTTCTAGAAAAGATCCCAAAACCTGTTTTCCTGTCCAAAGAGGCTCTGGTTTCCATACGGCAGGAAGAACAGGTAGCATCTCAGATTCAAAATCTAAAATGAAAATCTTCTGCCCAGGTTTCTCTGAAGAAGCACATGGTCTGGATGTTGAAATGCCAGAACTATAGAGAAGCTGGCTAAACTCATCAAATTTTAAGAAAGTATCCTTCTTCGTGAGAAGCACAGCACTTATAATGTGGTCCTGAAGAATATATGCAAATTAGGTGGTTAATCACCTATATATATCAATGACATCAGAGAGTATATGAAGAAATAAGCTCAGGGTTTTAGAAATTTACTTGGTACCTGAATTAATGCTCTGATTGGTTCACCACTGGTGGGTTTCACATATTGGTTATTTGCATTCACAATGTTGTAAGCTTCAGCACGAGAAATTTCATCTTGAGGAAAATGAACGTTCATTTCATCACCATCAAAATCAGCATTATACGTGCTGTAATTAGAGAACAATAAATTTTCAGTGGCACGTGCTCTCATTGAAAATAACACAAAATGTTGTACAAGTTTATACAAATTATAAATAATGATACCTGCAATTTGCATAGTGCATTCGAATAGTCTTCTCTCCTTTTAAGACACGAACAACATGAGCCATAATACTAGGCTTGTGAAGTGTAGGCTGTCGGGGAAAAAGAAACAAAGACTCAAACACATGAAAAAATAGGATATAAATAGACATCCTAATGTTAGAACTAAAAGCCAATTTACACCATCTCTATTTTATGTAAATCATCAATGACGGGGAGTGCGCAGAGGGGTCCATGTGATGCTCGGTCCCTTGTTAGGTTCAACACTTCCTTTGAACCTCAGTGTTGAAGGCCTTTTATAATTATCCGTTTGGTCTTATTTTGATTGATTAGAGTCTCTTTCTTTAGTGGGATTCCCTTTTGTGAGCTTGGTTTTTCTGTTGCCCTTGTATTATTTCTTTTTTCTTTTTCTTTTTTTTTTTTCTTTTTTACCAATGAATTTCGATACGTCAACAATGCAAAAAAAGGGACTCCAATCCATAACAATAGGACCTAACAGGTGATTGGAAAAACAAGGAGACCACGCCCAGATTAAGGAATTAAACCTAGCTAATTACTAAACTTCCTCCCCAGCTCTATCCTAACCCCTAAAAATTTTTTAACTCCCTACAAGCCAAAGACCCAAACTATAGCAACGAAGCCAACTTTCCACAAAAAAGAATCAATACTTACTTCAACCTTACATCTCTCAACCACTAAGGAAGCTTATTTCAGGCTCATCATGTAAGCTATATCAATACGTAACAATAAAAAAATTGCAAGAAACAAGACAGCATGAAACTTAGCAACATTTTTCTGAACTAGCTAAACTAAAACTGGGATTCTGGATAAGGGGAGGAAGTAAGTTGAAAACCAACCCAAAACGACCTGGATGAGGGTAAGTATTCCTTAGAAAATAAAGTTCTTTATCAAAGAAAAAGACACTTTTGGGTTTTTTCTAAAATGGGATTCCAAAAAGACATGCACTTTGGATCACGGCCTAGAGGGAGCCCAAGGTAAGAGAACGGAACCTAACTGATTTCACACCCCCACAAGAGAAGCCCAATTACCCGACTTCATTGGGTCACAATTCATACCGATGGTCAATCTCCTACCTTTGTTCATCTCAAGGCAATAAACCACTCATATTAAGAAAGAGTTTTCCTTACCCAGGTAAAAGAAAATTGTGTCATCCGCAAACGAAGATGTTAGAGGTGTAGATTTTGTCCCAGGAAACCCTCAATAATCCTCCTCCACTAAAATTAATATATCCCTACTCACTTGGAAACACATTTTAACAAAGTAATCAGCAACCAACTATAACAATAATGACAAAAAAAGGCATAAATTTAAGTTCAAGTCTTATAGATAAAGTAGTACAGATGTAAAAGAATTATGTCAAATAAAACCAAAGTCTACCTGTCGATTTACAAGAACAATATCTCCATCTTCCAAATGGCGATTCACAATTTTCCCTTCAAATTCATAATCATCACTTCCTTGATCGACAACCACTCCACGAGAGGAAGGTAATTTCCTTGAGATAGAAATGCGTGATTTCCGACTTGGCTTCAAGTTCAACTTAACTGTAGCTAACTTATCAATGTAATGTGTGGCTCCTGGATGGGTTTCAGGACCATTAATTATAGCATTTCGTAACTTTTGAACATTCCAAGCAGTCACTCTCTGGAAAAAGTAACAACAAAAAGGAACAAATAAAACACGATCAGGTCAGGGATAAAAGCCACTTTTTCCTACTGTATTCAATAAGAAACGCAAACCTAAAAGAACAAGTACAAAAAAAAAAAAAAAAAAAAAAAAAAAAAAAAAAAAAAAAAAAAAATGATGAAGACTACTCTCAGAAAAGAAAAATAAGATTAAAATATTGTTTCAATAAATAACCAATTAACACTAGTTAGTCTAATCAACATGTTGTGGCTTAAAACAAAAACCAGTACATACCACATACAAATAAAGAAGACAATCAATATTACTACAAGTAGAATACTTGTTTAGATTAGAATACCTCCGGATAGGTCAATCTCAATGCAAAATAAGGTGGAATTCCAATCTCATTAACTGCTAAGTAGGGATCTGGTGAAATGACAGATCGGCACGCAAAGTTAACCCTCTTTCCCATCATCTTCTGACGAAACATGCCTTCCTTCTTCTCCAATAACTGACATATTCCCACAGAAACATCTTTTTGACCTGGACCTGCCGTCAAGAAAGCATGGCCCCACCATTCAATAGGCAGTTCCATGATTTGTGTATAACATTCATGGCAGTACTAGACTATCAAAAATAGCAAACATGCTACTACAAGGTTACAATTAGAGGCAAAATGCAACACAATAATTTTGCGACCATGGTAAGGCAGAACTTTTCAATTAGTGGCACAAATACCAGATGACTTGTGCATTAATTATTCTACAAAGGTGGTTTTTGTTTAGATATCTCACAGTAACAAAGCCCTAAAAAAGGTGTAAGAAGACTCCCTCATTGGAAATTTTAAAAAAAAAACAAAAGAAAAAGGTAATTAAGAAAATCAATAGAAACAAGCCAGCAAGACAAATTGAAAGAAAATTGAGTCCCCTACTTCCGCATTGCATATAAATTGAAGGCCATTTAGAAACTTTGACATTGGATAAACATGCTTACCAGATGCAGTTTTGCTATCAAACAAAACATTGATAGATTGTTGAAGATCCATCCATAGCCTGACTATCTTTGAGTGTTCTGATTTGTTAGCATGAGCATTTCCTAATGATATATTGGACTGTAGCACCTTGTTCAGTAACACAGTTTGAGGATGCTCCATTATCTGAGAACACAATTAAGCAGCGACTCTTTATGAAAACATGTACAAAAGACCACATAAATTGTTACAGTCATAGCTAGATTAGTTAGATCTTGAGTTAGGAAAAAAAAAAGGTTGCAGTTTAAAATGCAAGGGATAGGTACTATTACAGAAGTAGAACATACAAGGACTCACGACCCCAATTTCCAAACCAGTTAAATAAACGACTGTTTTCAACAACATTCTTTACTCTATTAGTCAGGTGGAAATGCAAAAGCTAGCAATCAAAGGCATTATTCTTTTAAAATATAATTGTCAAACTCTTTTATTTTTTTCTCAATGAAAGTTTGGTCCTTTATCAAAAAATTATACGTAACGGTCAAATAATGTTTCAGAGGGGAGGCCAAAAAAAAGTGTCACAGCAGTTAACAAGAAACTCATTCAACAGCTTTGATTTTTAGTTTCCATCTACTACGTTTAATTCATTTCCATGCATCAACTTATGTGGTTCCTATGAGAATTTAATTCATTTCCATGCATCAATTTAAGTGGTTCCAAACAGAAAAGGGATGAGCAAGCATGTGACCATCATTCATCAAAACCCTTGGTCTTTAGTCATAAACAGAGAAAGAGAGAGAGAGAGAAAGAGAAGGAGGGAGGGAGAAGATACTTACAGAATCGCCTCCTTTTGCAGGGGGGCGGAACTTAATTGGAGGGACTAGAACAGCCTCTAAGAAAAACATGGAGTGGCCTGCTTTATTTCCATATCCCTGATGCTGAATATCACTAATAAACGAACAGAGCATAGCTTCATTTTTCCACAAACGCTTCAAAATATGCTTAACCTATTATAAAAATACAAATTATTATTGTTATTTGAAGAAAAGAAGGGAAAAAATTATCTGCTATTACAAAATAAACTGGCAGTATGTACCTCAGACGGCAACAAATGGACTGTGGAGAAATTCTTTGGCACAAAAATTTCAGGAGAAACTTCCTCAGAATCTTCTACAGAGGCCTTGGTTGCAGTGTCATCAAATACATCTACTTCCGACATATTGATAACAGTAGTTTGCGGAACCGTATTCTCTTCCTCAATTGAGGATATTCCTTCAGCCCCACTACTCACACTCGCAGGCTTGCATCCTCTAATAGCATTGGCCCTCTTGTGGGCTCCTGGCAAGCCAGTCTGCGTCCATCATGAAAAAGAACCAAAATCAAATCCCTGAAACTTGTATATATGCCCATGACCTGATAGTAAAGCTATAAATGTAATATCACATCTGAATTAGAAATGGGCATGTAAGAAGAAATACCATGTGAAGCCAACCAAAAGTTGGTCTAGTAATCTTAGGATTTTTGGCACCACAATTTTTGCACTCTCTCTGTTTGGGCTTCAAAAATTTATTCACAGCAGATATGGCCTCAGAAAATTGAAGAGAGGTCCATTTTTTTGGTTGCATATTCTGCATTTCATTGCTATGCTTTGAATCTGAAGACTCAGTTAGCAATTCTGAATCCAACTCTTTCGCCTTAACAACATCACCATTTAAAATAAGCTCCAGTTGAGATGCACATTTTTCAACCTAAAGTCAAGAATTAAATTGGCAGGTATTATTTATGTATAGAAGACAGAAGAGTGTATGAAACTAAAGAATTCTACCTAAAAACATCCTTCGATTATAGTAAGTTTACCTGGGATCCGCCAGCCCGAAAATGGTGGCACGAGAAACAAGTGCGTTGTAGAAGATTATGGAGAATAATAAATAGCAAGGGATTATACACTGGAGAAACAAGGTCAATGTGACCACAATGACCGGGGCAGTAGAAAGGCCTTTGTCCGCAAGATTTGCAACTACATAAACCAAATACCAACCAAATAAAACATTATAGAAACAGAGAACAAGTAAATATAACTTTAGATTACAAGACAAGTTCAAAACTGTAGATGAAAAAGATGTCACCAAATAGCTCTCCGATTGCAATGAATTTAAAAGGGAAGATATAGCAAAAACTCCAGTAGTATCCAGAGGCTAATAAGAAGGTTAAATACTCCAAATCTGCCAAATTTCAAAACTTCCCCAAAATCTCCTCTTTCGACCATTCTATTTCAAGCCAAATTTACCCATCACAACAGAGACAATAGGTGATGTACATAACGTGAAGGCTGAAGCAAAACAATTAAGACAATATTTTCTGAGCCTATAACCTACGAACAGGAAGATTCACAGAATAAACTCATAGCTGGAGCCAACTACGTAAACGTTCATCAACAAGCACAACATGAAATATTGGATGGCACGAGACAAATATTAAACTTCTGAAAGAAAAGTAAACAAGAATCCAAGGTACTCACAGTGTTGTCTCATCTAAAGAACCCATGGCTGGATCATAAAGTCCGCCAGCTACGGGCCTGCCCATAGCATCTAACAATATGGGTGCAGTAACTTTTACAGCACTGAGTTTGCGAACCTCGTCTTCAGTCATGAAGCTGAAGGCAACCGCCTTTACTGACTCGGACGCACCCTGCAACAAATTGTCACCATTAAAAAAACTACGCTACTCTTCAACATCCTACCACACCCCAAAGCTAAAATTTCCAACATAAAAAGTGGTCTACAACTAGAAATTGTCTTCACTTCATGCAGTAGAAGCTTAGAACAATTAAACATTAGATACAATGAAGATAAGCTCAAAACCATCTCCGTGTTTTACTATACTCGCATCCTCTCGCAACAAACAATAACATGAAAGCGAACACTCGGAAACACACAAAAGCAGAAGGAAACAGATATTGAGAGAAACGGGCATTAGTACCTCTGTGGTCTGAGCCATGGCAGTGACAATCTATTCCAACTACTCAGTTTCAACAGTTGGCGTGCGCGAGAGACGGAAGAGAAACAACAGAGGTTTAAAGCACATTCACCGATCGAGATTTTTTACCCTGCGTGTGTGAACTGAAGAAGAAATAACTTTTTTTAAAACTGATTCCAAAAGGAAACAATATTTCTTTTACACTGATTTCGGGCAATTCTTTAGCATCAGCCTATAGCGGCGGCGTGAGTGAAGCTTTTACGATGGCGACCTGGAAACGGCGAGTGAAAAAAAAAACGTCAGCAGCGAATAGTTGTAGCGAAGAGTAGAGGAAAGATCGAATGACAAAAGACGTACTAGACGACGGAGAGGGCTTAGTGGCGACGACGGCGGGTTGCAACAAAGGATGTCTCTTATCGATGGCGGCGGCGGCGGGCGCGAAGATGGTTACTGAGAAAAAGGAGAGGGAAAGGGAAGAGAAGACGATAACGCGGAAGACGCAGTTGGACGGCGCAATGCAAACGGCTATGGAATTATATTAGTTCTTAAAGGAACCTTATTTCTAAATTTGTTTTTCCTTTTAATATATTATTAAAATTGATAAGATTATATCTCAACCAATTAGGTTTTTAAATTTTTCTTTTCTTTACCAAATTTGTTTTAGTTTAGGATTGAAGCTCAAATATTTATAAACTCTTCTAATTTTTCCAAATTTAATTACATATTTAACCTAATTTTCTTTAGGAAGATTTTATTCCAATTGGTATATCAAACGTCAAAATGTAATGCTATTTCGTGATCTTATATAGAAGCTAAATATCGTATTATGACCTCGACTACTTGCGAAATTGTTCAATTACGCAGCTACTTGCAGATATATACGTTTATTTACATCATCCTACTCTGATATCGTGATAATTAGAGTACTATTAAGATAGTATGTGATTTAGTTTTTCGTGAGCAAATCAAGCATGTTGAGGTCTATCTCTATCGTGATAATTAGAGTACTATTGAAATAGTAGGTGATTTAGTTTTCCGTGAGCAAACCAACCATATTGAAGTCATCTCAACTTGACACTGTCTCATTACAAATGGTTGATATGTTACCGAAGCACTCTTTTTCACATATTAGTTGACTAAACAGCTATACTCGAATGGACCGAATAATTATTATGTTTCGTCAAAAGTTTTCAAACAACTCTCTTCTCATTCCCTCATGTGCTCTGTTTCCCATCATCATTATTTTAACTACATATATATAACCCCTCGAGAACAAAAAGAAATCCTCAAACTTGCACTTCCAACCTAATTCATGGAACAAAACAGGGTTAAGGTATGATTCCGGTGGAATGGTCCTCTTGGAAATCCCAAATGGAATTGGGAAAACTTAGATCATCTTCGTAGTTATGAACATAATCATAAACTTCAAAGTTTCCAATTTGATGATGATGGTGGTGATGAAGATCTTCAATATTGGCATGCACGTCCATTATGGAATCCCAGTTAAAGCTTTTGTCACTAAGTACTTCAAGTTCATCGCTATAATGATCTTTCAAATTATTATTAGATGATTCTGATCCCAAAAAACAGCCTCCATTCCCTTCCTCTCCTTCTGATGATTCAATCACTTTCTCCTCTTCTCCTTTCATAATCCCAAGTTGTTGTAGAAACTCGTTTAGATCAATTTGTGGTTTCTCTTCCACGGCTCTTATTGTCGCTGTCGTCGTCGTCGTCACCTCCTTGTCTTCCACCGGTGCTTCATCGTCCTTCTCTCCCTCTGTTTCTCTCTTGTCTTCAACTTTCTTGTATAGAGAAAGAGAGGTCATGAAAGTTAAAATTTAAATAAAAACAAGCATTTCATATACAAAGTGAAATTCCAATACCTTGGAAGGAGAGAGAAAGCCACGAGAGGTTTGAAGCTGCTGAAGCCTCTGATGAATGAGATGAACACTAGGCTGAGCATTGAGATTAAGCATGAAACCGGCAGGGCGATGATGAGGAAACATAGAAATGAAGTTTTTAGAAGGAACCCATTTGAAGATATTAGATTTAGCAGCACTAGAATTTGGCTGCAAGTGGGGAAGATTGAGATAAGCATCAGGGCCATAGAGTCTAGTGGCAGCTTGATCATAAGCCATGGCGGCCTCTTCAGCAGTGGCGAAGGAGCCCAGCCAGAGCCTGGTGCGCTTCTTGGGCTCGCGGATCTCAGCCACCCACTTGCCCCAAGTCCGCTGCCGGACGCCGCGGTACTCGCAGGAGGCGTTGAGAGGGCCGCCTTTGCCTCGGGAAGGGCCTTTCTTCCATGGCTTAAGAAGTGGAGAATGGGATTTTTTGTCTCTGCTGCCGCTATCCATTTTGGTTATGGAGAGTAAGCGAAGAAGATGAGTGTGGGAATGAAGGTGGTGAAAGAGAGCGGAGGGATATGTAGAAGAGGAAATCAAATGAAATGGGAGTGGGGGTATTAATGTTGTCACGTTCGAAGATGGCCATATTATATAGTTTTTGGACCGTTGTGTTGTGTGTATGTATCTATGTGGTTTGTGATTTCAAAAACTATGTTACATTATACTCACGTACTTTTTATAAACTTTCATAATTGATGTTCACATTCTATCTAATGGTATGGATTAATGGATGTTAATCGGTATCATATCATCTTTTGGGTTAAATTATGACCATCCAAATTTTAAGGTTAAAGACTACGTTTGGCACCATTTTGACTCTCGTAAACATTGCAATACTTTCCTACATTTGGCACCCTGCATTAATCACTTATAAAACAGATCATTTTTACTAAAAACACTTTCGTATGCATGACAAATTAAGGAATAGGGACAAGATTTGAAACATAGAAGATGATAAGAGAAGTGAAATTGATGACAGAAACAAACAAAAAGAGAGAGGAACGGTAGAATGAGGAGGTAAAAGGAAATTAAATGAAGTGTGAGAGTAGTGTTGTTCATAGGATTCTATATTGGAGAGATCTAAGTGAGTTGAAGAAGAGTGAGTGACAAGTGAAGAGTGAAGAGAGAAAGTCACCTCAGTTCATTTTTGCAGTTCACGGGCTCTTCTTTTTCACATGTTTTTGTGCCATGATTCTCGAGTCTCTGCCCTTCATCTTTATCCCATGTTCATGCTTCCTAAGGAGCTTGAATTGTTGATGCAGTGGAGTCATCTTCTTCTCATCCCAACCTAAGAAACACGTGTCATCCACATCTGATTAATGGTTTCAATCTCAAATCATTACTCATATAACGCCAAATATCATAATGCATCTAAAATATGCTTACTTACAAGCACATCCTACCCTCTATTAAGTTCAAAAACTATGCAATATACCCCTAACTACTAGGATAAATTACGATGGTACAAGACCGTTTACCACATTGTTCCGACCTTCTCAAGTAATTTCTCCTATAAGTCATATGACAACTTGCTCACTTGAATGAAGGAGCATCAGCCAGATTATCGCTTCTTTGATGCGAGATGCCCCATAGATGAAACATGTGAATTTTTATCCCACTAATTTATTATTATTCTATTCAGGCTTATACATTATTTCATACTTTTTTCTACGGAAGACAATTTCATTTATGAGTAAAATTTACCAGAGGGATGTATAATCCATGATGTTTATAAAACACCTTCCCAATATCTACCGTTTACACCAAGATATAAAGCCATGATGAGATTTTTCCATAATAGGGCTTTTACGTTCTTGTAAGGGTGGTACGTTAAGGCAATATCTAAAAAATCACCATTATTCACAACTTGAAAAATTCACAATTAGCCTAAACCAAAACAGGAATGGAGGGTAATAGCAAATAGAAACTAACTACTCAGAAGTATGAAGAAACTAACTGATGATATTTCCGTCGAAATCTTATGGAATATCTAGAAATGATAGACTGATCATTGTCATCATCATCAGAATATTTTTCTCCTATATTTATAGCATAAGAAGGTTCCTCTTCCTTGTCATCAGTTTGATACTGTAAACCTTCTTGCATAGCCGCTGCTTCAACTGGCCCTTGATCTTCGTGGAGAGTATCATAAATGTCATGTTCCTCTGTGGCTTCCAGACCATCTTTCAGTTCTGCAACATTTCCTTGACACTCTTGGTTCACCAAATCATCGCCGTCTTTCTCTCCAGATAAAACATCAGGCGCAACTCTCGAAGAACTTGCCTCGTTTTCTCGGTGATTGGAATCAGGAATATGCAATGGCTTTGACAGCTCTATTATTCGCTCAATATCTGTAACTGTCGCGGATCGATGGTTAACAGCTTCCTTTACATGTTCTCCATCTCGAGTTACTTGATTGTCTTGATTTTCCAAGTGTTCTTCACTAAGTTTAGCAGCATCCTCAACTCTAGCATTTCGTGAAGGATCAAGATCTTTTTGTTGCAATGCCTCTTGAATAACTATTGAGTGATGTCCCAAACAAGTACGAAAAAATGTAGCAATATTTTTCTTTGCCAATGCAGCATTCTTCTTAGCTTCAAGGTATTCTGATATAGCAAGTGAGCATAAGCAGAATGGACAACTAAAACCGCCTTCACCATGCATCCTAGCTGAGGAATCCAAGCACTTATCATGAACCACCAAAGGACAATGACTAACATTACAGGACAATAACTGACCACCTTCATTACATTTCACACAAACGCTCCCCTCAGCTAATAGAAAAGAATCACAATCTGTCATACATTGAGAACTAATAAATTCTTTCTTTCTCGCTGCAATCGTTCGAATATGGTATCCATCACTATCACTTAACATATCTTTCTCTTTCTCATCGGGATTCATGTCAACATCAATATCGGGAGCAACAGTCTTCGGCAGAAATCCACAATGAGACATTGTGTTCATTTCATTTACATGATTATCAGCCCCGAAGTCATGCTCGGAATCACCGGTGATGATATCATGCAGGTTGCCTTCAACAGGAGAATTATTAGGTGCTTTTTGTTCAACTGGCAGTTCATTTCCATCTTTTGATTTCTCCAAACTAATAACTTCATCCATCTCAACATCTTGTGAAGGTCGCAACTTAGTATAACAAGGAGTACTTGATTCAACCTGATGCAATTCATCAGTAGCAGTATACTGTCCTGACTTCTTTGACCCAAAATGCTCCTCCTCTACAAGTTTGTCTTCCACCGAAGTCATCTGATGATCAATATCATCTCTCTCTTGTGGCACAACTCTTTCAGGGGAAGCTTCAAACACATCAGCTCCATGTGAAGAAGCCACTACATGTCCTGAATGCAAAGTATGTGCATCAAGCCCCTTACGCCTCTTAGCATTCACGTAACCATCATTACAACCAAGTAACTGCCTTGCCTCATCTTCAGATGTTAAATCAACAATACTCCTTTTAGATGGTAACAAACTAGAAGTAGATGGGTCTGCCACAGACAGTCTTCTTCTTTCTTTCTCAAGCAATACAGGGCTTCCTCTGCCTTTTTCTTTTTGAGCTTGAGGATCAGAAGAGCTAGTATCTAGTCTCCTGCAGCGCTCGTTAAGATCGCCATTATTCAGAAAAATCCTATCCTTTTTTACGGGCATCAACCCACTCTTCTGCATTAAGAAATCAGCATATGGATGTGTACCATCAAGAATTGAATCTTGCAGCTGTACAAAAAAGAAACAAAACAACAACTTCTCAAATGGCCATACATTCGAAAAAGGATGGGAGCAAATAAAGTAGAGAGTAGAGACAAGTCATGAATTGTTTTCACCTGAAGCAATGTACACCGCATGGATGCTCTTTTCTGTGCGATAAAGGGACTAACATCCCATTTTGACATATCTGGTTCAGCCACTCTTAAGGCAGATTTTGAAGTCTAACAACAACAGCAAAAAAACAAAATTCTATGTCAATGCATACCCATTTCTTGAAAGCCAGAATGTATCTATCTGATATGGAGATAATCAGGCTCAGTTCGCTTCCTAAACACAGTGCACTATAGGGCTAGGAAATCAGAAATCTACAACAAAATTTTGAAGAAGTATTACCTCCTTACATACGCGTTTAAGAACATCTTCACAGCACTCAGATGAATCGAACATAACTTTTGATTGTTCAGCAGGAGGGCCATTTTCTCCACCGTAATTTAAAGGGCCAAACAAACCCTCCAAGCATCTCAAAGCAATCATTTCCCCGGCGTTCTTTCTTGTAACCTCAGGAAATTCTTTACCCTCATCAATTACATCTGTAAAAAGATAGAACGCTGAGTTATACAATAATAATTTGACCCTAAAGGATCTAAAGAATTGACAGTGAGTACCACGTAATAGAGAGTGTTTCACTTCCTTGAAACTTGCAAGGGCTTCGACGGTCCAACGCCAAGCAAGAGCTGAACTTGAAGCAGATTCATGTTCATTCTCCATCGGAAATCAAGGCACAAAACGCACGAATTCAACAAAGCAACCGCATTCTCAGTATTTCCGAATGAAGCTTTGAAGTATGAGGGGTCTATTCAACAAAATCAGCACAATTTAACACAGAATCCAAAGCTAATGTCACACGGAAGAGATCAACAAGCAATAAACACGATCATTTAGGGTTTCCTGCCATCACAGCGAACCGTCGAAGAATCAAAAAGGAAAGATTTACAACGATCATTCAATAGCTCGATGTAGAGGGAATTGGAAGAAGATACGAGGATTCCGAAGAAGTGGATGGTATCGGCGAAGAACATCGAAAAGATCTCGAAGAAGAATGAAGTTAAACCATTGTCTTTGTTTCGCTAGAACCCAAAAGGGTATTTTTACCATGATTTTTACTTTTCTAAAAGAATAAAAATAAATGCCCTTTTAACCTCTTAATTTTATTTGAGCTGAGTTATACATTTACATATTGATTTTAAAGCTTTTAATATATATAATATGTCTTAATTAATTTCTAACCTATGAAAATCCAATAAAAATTGATTGATTTGATCAACTTCTCAGGTCTAATAAAATCCTAAATTTCATATATTATTTATAGTGAGTTTGTAAATTTATAAAAGAAAACGTTCAATAAGTTCAAGTACATGTTGGATAGTAAATGGTCCGTTTACATAAAATTATTAAACACTTTTTAAAGTCCAAGGAACCAAACAATACCATCTTTAGAATTTAAAACTAAACTTTTATTTAATAGAAAATTATTCCAAAAAAATTGAAGATCGATGTTAAAATTGAAGATCGATGTTGGATAAAACTAAAATTACAATTGTGACTAAAATGTGGAGTATAATGACAATAAGATACGACAAGACCCGCTTTATAAGTCTATTAATTTTCACTATTTTTTAGAAGTTTTATATAACCAACATAATTTGATCATTAGTTTCAAGATTTACTTGAAATATGAAAATGAAATTTGAAAGCATCTATTTCCGATTACACAAAGATTTGAGCACATGAATTTTATCTCCATAGATTATTTAAATAATACATCAAAAAACTGATCCTTCAAACAGATCAACATCAATTGATTATGATGTGACCATTACACAAAACTCCCATAACCTAATCATTCCATTCAGATAATCTACAAAAGATAAAGAATCCATTATCTTATCTTCACGACTCAGAATCAAGTTCCTTCTCCACACAAGTGTTCAATCAATCCTACAGTGGATAAACAGTGGGAATTGCTTGGTTAAGTTAATGAATGAGGTGATGGATTAAGATGTGAATGTGATATGATGTTCATTACAATTAAACATGATGATGCTACTCACAACTGGGAATTTTGAGACATTTTTTTCTTTTTAATGGCAACCTAATAGGATCTAAATTTTTTCAAACAAAGAATAAAACCTACCTGTGTTCTAAATTGTCGACATTAACTAAGAGGTTGTCATAAAAATGGTCGCCTTCGAGTGAGGGTGATTAACTCCCCCCTTCGCCTTCTGAAGATGCATTTTTCCTTCCAATGCCCAACAACAAAAATAGAAAAAAAAGGCATGTTATACACCAAAATATAACTGTTGTTAACTACCTCCACCGACACAACTTCAGTTTTGTTGTGCGACGAGATGATCGAGCTGCACTTGCTCGAGCCATGCTCCTAATGCAGCATGGTCAACTGACTCCATTTGGGAGTTCATGTTAGAACTCTCACCTTCAGATACAAAATTATTGCCACCTGAGTTGGGATGAGCCTGCTTTTCTTTTATCTCAGTTGGAGATTCTTTTACAAGCGATTGAACCCATGATAAATCTGGTTCTTCTCCATTGTTCCCAAGCTCAAACGACGATGATTGCTTAAGTTTACCCATTTCATCTGCATTGACTGCCCAATCAGGTCTTCTGTTAGAAGGTCCCCATTTAGACCAAGAACTTGTAGGGGAACCAACAACAGAAGCAGAATTGGCACCTAGTTCACGCGAGCTGAGGCTGCCAAACGGTGGCTGTTTTTCTCTATGAGCTAACATGGACAAGCGAGAGCCCATGGGAGAGATCGGTTCCAGATTTCGTGGAGACATCCTCCCAGATGATTGAACCCCAAAGGAAGCCTGCAATAGAGGGTGATCAACATTTTTAGGAGAGAAATTTGTGTTGATTGGTGACAAAATATTTTGTTGCTGCTGAAATTGATTGATAACAGCTGATTTGTGTGTAGGGGAGAAAACAGCTGAAGCCAAAGCTTGATCGGAGTATCTGGGAGATAAACTCTCAGCAGAGAAGAGATCGTCAAGATTTGAAGGAGTCAGAGTCTTCAGCCGACCAGAACGGCTCAATGAGTTTGAACTTAATGGTGGCTGAGAAAGACAGTTCAAGTCATTAACGAGCTGCTGTTGTTGCATATCAAAATCGCTCAGATAATCAAAGTCCTCCGCAGGGATGTCTCTTGCACTCAAAGAAGATCTTAGGCGGCTGGATTGAATATTGCTTCCTGGAAGATGCAAGACAGGTACATTCGGTTGAGACCACGCCATGGATGAGTGAGACATGCCATTGGCAGAGGGAGACATTGGAGGAGTGAACGGTGATGGAGATATCATAGGGACTGAAGATGGAGAACCAGGTAGAAGGTTCATGACTGTATTATATTCCATAGCAGAAGCCCCGGAAGTTGCAGAGCCAGTTGAAACATACAGTGGTCGGAGTTCCTCAGTCCTGTGTGCAAAGAAGCAGACTCTCCTTGAGCAATTTGTGCCATCTTTGCAAAGTCGGGTCCGATATTGTGCTGGGTGCAGCCAGCACTCGAACACCCCGTGAGCATATTCGCACATATCTCCCCATCTGCAAGCACCCTTCCGAAAATCAGGACACGGTACGCAGCTATAATGAAACTTTCTTGGATCCCTCCTCCTGGCATTCTCTCCAGGGTGGACAAAGGGGCACTCAGTCCAATCATGAGAGTAAGCCCGTGAGCAGGGTCGAACCTTGAACGAATACATTCGAAATTCATCAGTTGAGTAAATACTGTTCTTGATGTCCGGAAGAGAAATATCAACAGGGTATTCTTTCTTCTCAGGTGGAGAAAACATAGGAAAATCATTTAGTTTCGACTTTGTTGGAGAAGAAACCAACTCTGATGCAGATGAGGGGGCATTCGGAGGAGATGAAGGGCGAGGAGAAAGCAAATTCCTTGCACCTTTTAAAACATCAAGATTTCCTTCACCAGACAAACCATATGTTCTAAGAAGCTCTGTAAGGATTGATTTAAACTCTGCATGCCTTGGGGGGGCAACAATCACATCAACGGGTCGATGTCCATTCCCATCAACCATACTAGAATCAGCACCAGCAGCTAAGAGCAGCTTCACAATCTCTACAGCATTTGCAGCCCCACCTGAGGCTGCACAATGAAGGGCAGTGCTTCTGTCAAGACCAACAGCGCGGTTTACATCAGCACAAGAAAGAGAAAGAATAAGCTTCAAAACCTCAATGCTTCCATAAGTAGCAGTAACCATTAAAGGAGTTCTCTGCTCATTAGTCATCTGTTTTGAGCCTCTCAATCGACCATACCACAAACCAATCTCATCAATACCAAAAGGGTCGCGTTCAATCGATCTCTTAAAGGCATCAATGTCATCATTTGCAGCAAGCTCAAGCAAACTGGAAAAGGCATCATCTGTTTCGACAGACAAGTTATTCATGGCTGAGCCCATGGACTTACACGGTCAAAAGAACAGAAGAAATTTCTTGAAGACGATATGGACTTAAGCTCTAAACCACAGAACATGCTTCCTTCATCAGGAGAATGCCAGCTGAACTCAGGAAACCATGCCAAGAAGGAAAAAAAAACAGGATAGGATTTTAGTAAACAAAAATATACAGAAAGAAGACAATATAAATAGTTATTCGCATAAAATATATGTGGCAAATGGGAACGAAATGAGAAAGAAGATAAGAACTTTACTCAGATTCAGCAGATTCTATGAGCACTAAAATACAGACAAATTCCTAGAATACGTTCCCACAGGTAAATTCAATTGAAAGAAAATGGAAAAACAATCTGCACATAAGTTAAATCTTCTTTTATCTTTTTTTTTTTTTTTTTTTTTGTGGGATTAAGAGGGAGATTACGAACAGGACGGTTAATTGCTTACATAATCATCCCAACCATCTTCTCTAATTCTTCACCCTAAATTAAAAACAATGAAAATAAAAATAACAAAAAATTTCTATATCACAATTATCTTTCATGAAGATCAACCTGAATTTAATTTCTGTAAATAAAAAATAACAAAGCAATCAACTAGTTTAGTTTCAACGTGGTGATTTAATCCGATCCATACGTCCCCAAACCAACAAGTAGACATTTTCTGGATTTTGTTCAACAAAAATACAATTTTTTAGGTGGAGAACCCCGAAATCATAACAGAAAAACAATAGTCAACAATAATTCAAATACATATATCTATATACATATATATGTATGTATGTATATAAACTACTTATAAATATTTACGACAACACAATAATACAATACAATTCTCAAGCTCCTCCAATTTCATGTGATCCAAAACAAAAATACAAACCAAACAGAAACTCGACGGCGAAACCAAAATAACGTGGATGAAATGCCAAGCTCAAACCAAAAAATACAATAAAATTTGAAAGAACAAAAGCACGGATCGATCATCAAGCATTACTCCACAAAATCAAACCTAACCCAAAATCCTAAAGTCACAAGAAAATGGCATAGACCAACAAATAGCGGCTAAAACCATTTGAAGGTGAATCAAAACATCTCTAAGCTTTCCATTTCGTTAGATTACAAGAACATCACAAATCAGAGCAAGAGAAAAAATAAAAAGAATAAGTCGGGATCGAAGAGAAGCGAAATCGTACCGAAATTTGGGGGAAAAAGGGAGTCAGTGAAGATTGAACGAGTGAGTGAGATCAATCCAGAGCTTCAAAGAGAGCATTTAACTGGAGAGAGTGAGAAACTGCGAGTAGAGAGAGCAAAGAAGAAGAGAGCGAAGAAGAAGAGAGCTTGTTCTTCCTCAACCCCCGATGTTTTTGCTTTCTCATGAGAAATAAAATAAATTATAATTTAAAATACCCTAAAAAAATGAAACTTTATTCATTATTATTTTAATTATTATTTTACTCGTTTCAGAAAACCGCCTATCCAATATCAGCAAAAGGGAATTTGGAGGGGAAAAAAAAAACAAAGCCCAAAGCGCAATGGGTTATATTCCTCTGGTCCTCACTCATATCCGAACAATTTTCTTTCACCCAACATTATCTTGCCACGTAAGAGTAAGCGTATTTTCGTCACTTCCTTCACGTGGGGGCTGCTGATTAGATTGGTTGGATCATGATATAATTGTGAGACTGCACAGACAGAAAAAGACACTCGATATCGTGTCAAATTTCAGGCAAATTCATCCTAAATTCACTCGACATGAAAGTTCAAGTAGACTGAGGCTAGAATCCAGTGCCACACGCTCACACTGAAATTATCCAGAGTATCTGACGACGTGGCAGAGACAAATCTTTTCTTTTTCTTTTCTTTTTCTGTTTTACATTCAATTTTATAGAAAATTTTAATATATAATTTTTTTTTTGAATATATACTCAATTTAGTTCAATATATCAAAATTGAGGGGATAAAACTTTATGTCAATTCTTGAAAGAAAAAAAAAAAAAAATAAGGAGGATTAAATTCGATTTATTTCGATACTTTTTCAACTTTTAAATATAGAAATTTGTTTCTCCATAATTTTTATTGGATGGTTCATATGGAACCGATTCTCCTCATAAAGTAGGAGAAAATAACCGTTCTTTTTTTTTTTTTAATAATACTATTTTTTAATTAAAAAATTAAATCAATTTCATTTAATGTCAAAATATAATTACATTACATTTTATTTACGTATTTGTATCCAATATTCGAATTTTTATGAGTTATTAAAATTTTACTCCCATGAAAAGACGCTCAAGACATTTGTCTTGCAACATTCATTGACGACACGACTTATGCATGTGTCGCTTAGTATGTTCTAAAATATATTTGATATGACACTATTATCGTAAAAACAGCGAGGGAGCATACTGACGACACGACTCGTGCATGTGCTTCTTAGTATGTTCTAAAATATATTTGATATGACATTCGTAATCATAAAAATAGCGAGGGATCATACATTAATACAAAACATCAATTTAGTGTAGATTAATTCTTTATTTATATAAGCTTGGTTAAATTTTAACCTAGAATCTTATTTCACAGACTCATCTAGTTCTATTAAGCTTGTCATTGATACCATTAATAACGTTCTTGCTTTTATCTTTGTTGTTCTTATCTTTATTTGAACGTTAGATGGACAATCCTGTCTGTAATTTTTAATGTGATAGATGATGCCAATTTGTATATAAATATATTAGTTTTATTAATATTAATTTTTATGGTGGGGCAGCATCTTCTCCCACTTCTTCTTCGTCTTCTTCGGCGACGGTCGCCGACGCTGGCCGCCGTCCTCCTTCTTCCTCATCGTTTTCTTTGGTAAAGGTCACCAACGCCGCCACCGTCGTCCTGGCCAGCTGCTTTTCGCCCTTCTCGCCGGTCACTACGGAAAGCTACGCAAAGCTTCGTTCTTCAACGGAAGAGTGGATAGAAGCATCTCCTTCTGAAAGTGACCGGGGATGAGGGTGGCCACAACCAACTTGGCCGGAAAGAGAAAGAAGAAGAAGCGAAGAAGGAGAAGCCACCTCGCAATTTTTTTTATTAAATTAATATGCTTGCCAATTAATAATTAATTATTTTTTTTAAAGAAAAAAAAAAATATATATATATATATATATATATATATATATATAAATATTTTAGATATAAAAAAAATGCATATTTGATCGACACTGTGAACTTCCTCTATGCTGTGAGATTGGGCGGCGGCGGCGGCGGCAAACGGAGGTGATTCCTGTATTCATCCACTCTAATCTCATCTTTTATTTCAATCGCATCTGAAATCCTAGGGTTTTATCTGAAAGTTAATCCATCTTGAATCGGAATTGCGAAAGATGTGGACGTTCACAGCGAGTTTTCAGCAATGTCCGACCTCCTCCATTCCTTTCATTGCCATTTCCTCGCCTTATTATTCATCTTCTTCGTATTCTCGCCTCTGTTCGAAGCCGCCGACGCTTATTTGCTCTGCCGTACAGTCTCAGGTTGAGACTCTTACTGGAACCACACACGGGAGGATCTCCGATAGAACTGAGATTCGATTTGGGTTGCCTAGTAAAGGTCGCATGGCAACCGATACCCTCGACCTTCTCAAGGTACATTCTTCTTCATCCTTTTTATTTTCTTTTTGTGATTTTTCCACTTGTTTGACACTCTTTTTTCTCTCCAGGACTGTCAATTGTCTGTAAAACAAGTCAATCCTCGCCAGTATGTTGCTAATATTCCGCAGGTACTTGCTAATGAATGAGCTTCGATTTTAACAATCAATTTATGTGAAGAATTCTGCATATGTTCTCGTGTATTCATCTTATTTACACATTCATTCTGTTCTCCAACAGTTATCGGCCTTGGAAGTTTGGTTTCAAAGGCCTAAAGACATCGTTCGGAAATTGTTATCTGGAGATCTGGACCTCGGCATCGTGGGTCTCGATACAGCAAGCGAGTATGGACAAGTATGGGTCTCAGTATATAATCAATTCCCCTTCCTCAACTTTTGAATTGGTTCTTTTTTCATTACTTGGAGTAAATTTTGCTTGGCCTATTGCTTCTGATTGTTATTTTCTTCCATAGGGTAGTGAAGATCTTATCGTTGTTCATGAGGCCCTTGAATATGGTGATTGCCGATTGTCGCTTGCTGTAAGTTTTTTTTTACCTTGATATCATCCACGATGAATTTTTTATGTCATGAACTTCTCATCTATTCTCTCATGACACTGCCAACTTATCCTTTCAAACTAGATACCCAAATACGGCATTTTCGAGAACATAAATTCAATCCGGGATCTAGCTCAGATGCCCCAATGGACCGAGGAGAAGCCACTTCGAGTTGCTACTGGCTTTACTTATGTATGGTGTTTTTCTTCATTATCCATCACATCATTGCTTCTTTTTCTTGAAAGTAAAAGATTGTTTCAGTTGGGGTTTGAATGAATTACCAATTGGATATGTTCAATGATGTTCTTTTTCATAGCTCGGCCCCAAATTTCTTAAAGAAAATGGGTTGGAACACGTCAGTTTTTCAACGGCTGATGGAGCATTAGAAGCTGCCCCTGCGGTAATAGTTCTTGATGAAATGTAGAGTTTTTGTCTTGAGTTGGTTGCTGGTTTTCACACTGCTTGTATTCTGCTAATGTCAGATTCAATGCATTGACTGATGCTATTGCGAGTGACCAAACCTTGAAATTTCCTTGTAGCATTTAGTTAAGTTTTTGTAGTAGTTCCTTTTTGGATAAAGTAGCCATTTACTTTAGCATGTCATCACTATAACCATTTACTTTAGCATGTCATCACCATAACAATTTACGTAAACATTGTCGTCACTATAACCGTTTACTTGAAGCATGTTACTATTGTAAGCCATATACATACATATCGGAGTGAAAATGACTACAAGAAAAATGCTTTAAAACAAGCTATCAAAGATAGTAATTGTTTTAGTTGTTCCAAGAACATGTATCATGCGTGTCTCAAGTAACTGATATTTTCCTTATGCAAGTTTGTCTTGTGAAATAGGGTCTATGTTGGGCAAACTTTCAGTTGTCCGGAAACATAATTAATACTAAAATGTAACCTCTGAAAAGCATTTCAATCAGGGATGAAAATGCGTTGTCCCATTTACTATGCTTTATCCCCTTGTTTGCAGCTAGAAAAGATTAATTAGGTCAAACTTCTTGCTGCTAATGTAAGAATTAAGATGTACGATACTAAGATAGATAATGTCGATTCCCTGATAGAACTTGTCAGATCCATGATTGAAGGAGACATAGCAATCTGGACAACCTTCACTGCTTAGTTGTACTTCACTATACTTATAGAACCATGTTTTCCCCCTTTGAAATGCAGATGGGGATAGCTGATGCTATTTTGGACCTTGTTAGTAGCGGGATTACTCTGAAAGAAAACAACTTGAAAGAAATTGAAGGTGGTGTAGTTTTGGAAAGCCAGGTGAACTTCTTTATTGGGTTCTGTCATTCAGTCTTGTAAAACTGAATATCTTTATATCAGATGCTTTCTTACTGCAAAGATAATGTTTTCTAGGCTGTTCTTCTTGCCAGCCGAAAGTCCTTGCTTCAAAGAAAAGGTGCTTTAGACACAACCCATGAAATTCTTGAAAGACTGGAGGCACATCTAAGGGCTGTTGGTCAGTTCACGGTGAGTTGTTGTCTGGTTTGTGATCAATATTCCTTTTCCTTCTGAGCTTGATATTATCATGCTCTAACTGGCAGGTGACTGCAAATCTAAGAGGAAGTAGTGCACAAGAAGTCGCAGAGCGCGTTTTAAGTCAACCATCATTGTCTGGGTTGCAGGTGGAAGCAATTCTTTCATAACACCACAATAGAAAAGGGGGAAAAAGAATAATTCTTTAGAAAGTGAAAGTACATTTTTGCGTATCATGTTTTCTTATTTACATTTTGGTAAATACAGGGCCCTACTGTGAGTCCAGTTTTCTGCAAACGTGATGGGAAGGTAGTAGCTGATTACTACGCCATTGTCATATGTGTCCCCAAAAATTTCCTCTACAAGTCGGTTCAGCAGCTGAGAGCGGTAAGCCATTAGCTTTTGTCTTTTACAATTATTATCCCCAACTTACAAAAACAATGTTCTTAACTTCATCTCTTCCGTCCTTTAATCCCGTTATCAACTGCCTTGCCACACACACACGACACTAATTATAGTTTCTCACGTGGAACCATTTGGTGCAGATTGGAGGAAGTGGGGTTCTAGTATCTCCTCTGACATACATTTTTGACGAAGAAACTCCCAGATGGAATAATCTTCTCAAAGAACTTGGGCTGTAGTCATTACTACCAGACATGTAATGCATGAGATGAGAGCGAGTTTATAAAAGGTATCCTATCCTGTTTCTAGTGACCTTAGCAAGAGTACTTCCACTTCCTCTTCCACTTCATCTTCCTCCGACATATCCATCAAACTTGAGTTATTTATGTGTGAATCCTGAACCAGATTCTCTAAGCAGCTTTTGTGTGATTCGTATTCTCGTAAACGTTTTGCGCATTCATCCTTGGCCGTCTCAAATGTATTGTTCTGTTTTGTTTCTTGATTCTATTATTCGTATTACCTGTTTTTTTTCTTTCTCAAGGATGGGAGGGAGGAACATTTGGTTATTTGAAATGGTATTTTCAATATTCAGAATTTGATATCTCACAAACACATGAAAATGTGTCTATATATATTTTAAACATGTAGAGCTCTTTTGAGTTTCGAGTTCTAAATATCTGAATTAAAGGAATATTAGTATATTGCTAATTTCAATGGCCTAATTGGATCGAGACTGATATATATACATATCAAACAACAAAAATATGTCATTCCTTGTAAAAAATAGAACGCATACAACATAATCGTTTACGTTGAATATACAACCCTCAGCCTACTAGCAAATGAAAACGAAGATGGTAGGGCGACGACACTCACATAAACTTCTGGAGGACCAAATGAAAGAATTGGCTGCCTGGTTTTGTAAACTACAACCTCTGAACATTACATAGCAGCAACAATGACCAAAGAGATACATATAGAATGAAAAAGGAAAAAAAAATCAATCTTCAGGCAGCAGCACAATTGAATGGCAATAACTATTGATATGTTCATCAATGGCATATATCAAAATGCCAACAGATTTTCGGGCCCGACCAAGAGACACGAGTACAACCATAATTTCTTTTACGGGAAAATAGATGGGGAAACGTAGATATGACCTCGATTCATTCGCTAGAACAAATCGGCTTTCTTCTTGTGCATGTCTTGCTTCCATTTTGGCAACTTGTAGAATGCCTCTTTTGTTGTTCCAAATATAGTTTGGAACTCTTCATCAGACAGATAGGCCTAAGACAACATGCCCAAACTGTTGGCACAACCAAACGAAAATATACATATTAACTCAGTAAGAGAACAATACAAAGCATACCTCTCTCTTTTTGAGGTCGATTCCAGTTACTGGATTATCAGATTTGGCCTTCAGTCGATCGTAACCGAAAACAGACAAACTTTTGTCACTGCCATTCTCCTCCTGCAGGCTTTCTTGATTTACATCTGCATCGTCGGGATTGTTTCCCGATGCAGGCGTGATTTCCCCTGGTTCCTTATGTTCCAAGACTTCTTCAGGACTCTCTATTTGTTGTATGACATCATCATGTTTTTCTTCAGCTGTCATTGTTTAATGCCACCATATTTAGCCCTTCCATATTCATCTAAGAGAAAAGAATGGTAAAAGTGTTCTTGCCTGGGATGTTACTCTCTGGAGGGGGACTGCCATTAGATGAATCATTGGCGCTTTTCTTTTCAGCAGTAAGAACAGAAGAAAGAGCAGCTACTGCTGCTGCCCTTTGTGAGCCCTTCCCCCTGCCCGATACTCTCGAAGCAGAAGTTGTCTTTTCAGGCGACGACTTAAAAGCCGAGGTCAAGGCAGCTAGAGCTTCAGCTCTTTGTCTAGGACCACTTCCAGGGCTGGATCCATTGGACTTGTCAGAACTCTGCTAAGGAAACAAATATATAGTTTATCAACATTGACAACACCAAAAAACTTAGGTAGTCCATAACAAGTGTGGTGTGACATTTACCAAATGGGTGGATTTATCTGCAGATGGTTTAAATGCAGACGATAAAGCAGCTAAAGCCGAAGCTCTCTGCGTCGGTCCTCCTTGGTTTCCGTTGGACTTTTCCTATCTCAACAAGAGTATCAAATTTAAGTCACCTTGCCATCTAATGAACAGATAGTCACAACATTTTGCACCAGAATCGACATATCTCGTAAGGTCTTATATTCGTCATAAGCTCATTATCAAGAACAGGAACCTCTTTTTAAGTAGAAGTTAGAGGAAGTTGATTTACCTCCACAATATGTCCAAGGCCAAAGAGTAAAGTCACCTTCTTTTGGAACGAGTTCCCTTGAACCTGCAATAACCGAACGAAAATGATCATATCTGAAAAACGTACTTATCAACAGCATAACATATATTATATATAGGATTAAGCAAAAGCCGAGTGAACATAGTTTGAGCACATACAAGAGCCTTAGTATTATCCCACGAAAAGTATGTCGTGAAGAAGCATGGCTCGTTTCCTTCAGAGACTTTATATAACGGCACATTAGGAGGCAATCCCTCTAGAGATGCAGCCATCTCCACATATTTCTGGAGGAAAAAATGGAAGTAATAAGAAAGAAAGCAAATTATTTAGAGCAAGTGTAACACAATATAGTCCTGCAACTCGTACCTGACCAATTTCCCAAGCATTTTGCTTTTCTTTGGGGTCGACAGATTGACCGATCCAAATAAACACTTCAGCTTGAGTATCAAGTATCAAGATGTCCTCCGTCAACAGATCATCCTGAGAGAAGTTGTAAATTTCCTCTACCTGCACATGGTAAATATGAGATCATAACACTGCATATGGTTAACTTCTACATTAACAAGGAATTCAAATATTCACCTGGAACTTTCCTGTAAGGGCAAATGCACCAAAATTGAAGCAGTCAAAACAAACAGTCAGCAACGATAGCAGTTGAATACCGAATGAGATAATTTCATGTAACTTAGAATTGAACATATGTCACCTCTACTGGTCGAAATCGCGTACAAGTGGGGGTCCCTAACGATTTCCTGAGATGCTTTTTTACTGTTGTAACTTTGTTTCCCTCCAAGTGCAAACCAGAAGGTTGAACTCTCTGTTCCTTCCTTGGCATGTTTCAAAGCAACTCCTGGCTGTATCAGGAAGAAAATAAATAAACGTTTGAACAATTTAGCTCAAGTTAGCTCAGGTTCTGAGATCTTCCTACCACTATGTGTCAGACATAAACACATGGTCGAAACCCAAAGTTTCGGCGTGCTACATGCACAGGAAACTCGTATCCATCAATATATATATATATCTTTGAGACCTTACCTTTAGAAACTCTGCAACTTTTGCAGCTAACTGTTGCTGATCGAATGTACTTTGGTTTCCATGCCATGAAAAAACAGAAGAGCCAGATTGCAGGACAAAACACTCGGTCGAGTTCAAAGAGGTCGCAACCTGATTTACAAATGCATATGGTTTATTCACACACATATATTCCAAAACCTCAAGAAGGCAGATTAAGACGTTCAAAAAGGCATAAATCACACCTAACAGAAAAAAAAAAAAAAAAAAAAAAACGCCAGAAACATACACCATCAACTTGCACTGCTTTATTGTTGTGAACGGATGTTTGCGATATCCGAATAAGAGCAACAGAATCGACCGTGTAGGTTTCATCTGTCAGAGCTTTATCTGCTATGACTTTCTTGTAGCCAGAGCTCAAGCCACCCTACAGCAGAATTCATCAGAAACTTGTAAAATTATGACGTGATTCGAATTATAAAAGAGATGAAAAGTTAAGAAATAAGGTTTTTAGAAGACTACCCACCTTGAGAACCACCATAGGTTGAAAGAGAGCAATGAACTGAGGTGGTTCTTTGCCTTGGAATATGCGACCCTGCAAGAAAATACATGATAAGGAAATTCTCAAAGGTATAAACTATTTTGATATCTATTTCGTATGTTTTTGCTACCTGAACAGGTCTCCCTTTCAGCGAGTTGGACATTGTATTAGTTAACCGCATAGCCATCTTCTGATCTTCCTGAGGTTTTAAATATATAGAAAATGGTTTAATAGCTATAGATTAACGAACATGTATTTGTAAGTACAAATGCACACAAATATGTTACGACTGTAACGACCCAAGCCCATCGCTAGCAGATATTGTCCTCTTTGGATTTTCCCTTCCAGGCTTCCTCTCAAGAGGACAATATCTGACAGCGGTAGGCTTCGATTGTGACACAGACATTGAAATCTGAGGTTAATGACGAAACATCCCACACTTTCCATATGGTTACAAGCACTTATTTCTCTATAGGAAACAAGATCAACAGGAAATTAAGAACATAGCAGATAAAGCTCTGGTTATGTTTGTGCGTGTGTGTGCGTGTGCGTGTTTGCGTGGCAAGTACACCACCATATTAGAAGTCACGCACCACGTAGGTTACATAGTTAAATGTTTTTCAAAATGATAACTGACCTCAATGCTATCCTTTCCAAACCAAGAACACAAGAAATAATCTTCTTTCCTCTCACCAGAGTGGTAGGTGTAAAGAATGATGTAGCAGTCTCCGCTATAAAATTTACCGATATCCTCCACGAGCAATGGAGTTTTGGCACTGCCATTGATTCGCCATACCTGGAGAACGAAAACCATCAAGAACCCAGTTGAACAATCAAACTAATCTAGCCATTTCAAGCAACCAAAACCGAGTATCATTCAAACCTCCATTTTTCCACCTCCCTCCAGCAATGGTGGAACTTCTTCATTCACAGGTGCACTTTTTGTTAATCCCTTCAGACCAAGACCTTGTTGCTTCAATAGAGCTGTTTGTAAAACAAGTACCATAGTAAACAATACTTGTAAAGCAAAAGGAAAACCAAACTCATTTGATCCAATTAGATGAGGTAACTACCAGCTACTTTTCCCCTTCCTTCCTCAGCACCTGTAGTCACCGATCCAACTGGCCAGGACCCGAAGTTGGACTTAAAAGAGTGCGTTTCATAACCTTGGATAACCCGTGTCACACGTGTTGACTTTGGCCTACACTGGCTGGCAATAAATTCCTGAAAATAAAGTATTGTATTGATACGTCCCGTACATAACTTTAATTACTTGAAATTTTGGCACAGTGGCGTACCTCAGCTACTTGAATCGCTGCTTTTCGCTCTTCTACTTGCGTCACTCTTCCAACCCAAACGAATACTTCAGCACCACAGTCCAACAGATAGCACTTGTTATTTTCCAGTAAGGATTTCGATAGCTCGCCATCGACAACTTTTACTTCTCCACCATCGATGCTACAGAAACCGTTGAGAGAAGTTAGAAATACGTGCCTCCACGTATAAGAAAGATTCTTATAAATATTAAACCGAACAGGAAGAGCAAAAATCTTCTCATTGGAGGAATGCTGGAAAGAAGTATCATCTAATAGTAATCAAGGAATGCCAACACATACCTGTGAAGCTTAGCAAGAGCGGGTTCTGGAATGATATCGTCTTCACTAGCAACTTTCTTTCCAATGGGTGCAAAGCCACCAAATAGGACCCAAAATTCGCCCGAGTCGGACTCAGTATCCAACTTCCCATCATCTAGTACATTCAAAAGGACGTCGACTCAATGCATTGCAATGTGGAAACATAATTGAAAACACCAAGGGTTGACTTTAAACAGGGGGAGGGTCAGAACAATTAGTGTATCTTCTGCTCTTACCAACAATAGCAACATCGCACTTCCCCTCATGATTTCTATCCTTCAAGAATTGAACCACTTCCAAAGCTTTTGCCCTCTCCTGGATATTGGAATTTGCACCATTGAACTGAAATATCTTGCTCTCTGTGTCTAAGATGAACACGTCATCGTGATTCAACGATGAACGAGCGAAAGGAACCTGGATAAACCAAATGCAAAAATAAGCGTCAGTAACTCCATGTCTCTGGAAGAAACAATGTTGAATACATAAACTCCTGAAAAGAAAAGTTGCCTGTTTCATTCGGACAACTCGCTTTCCTCTACAGATATACAACTGTGTTTCAAATTTTTCTTCCTCGGGTTTCTTAAATCCAGATGCAACACCTCCCTCCAATGGTATGATACAAGGTTTGAAGTATGACAAAAACTTTTCTGATTCGTGCCCTTGGATTTCTCTGTGTTGCACTGCTCGTCCTCCAAGTGATGCATCGAGCTCCACAGTTTTAATAGCTGCAGTTCCTGCTTCATCCTAATGTAAAACCAAAACAAAAGTATGTTTCACTTTCAGTTCTCAATGAGGAAAATAGGCAGAGAAAGAATACCTGACTAGTATCTCTTCCAATCCAAAAGTGTATATCATAGAGGTAAGAACCACCTTTGCCTTGTGTTGTCTGCATAAAAAGTAAAGAGCTTGTAAAACAACATTCTGAAAGTTCCTCTCCTAAACAAATTAAACAAATGTCTGAGCTCAAAAACAAGACAAATGGCGACCCTCAGCTCATGTCTCCAAACATCAGACGAGCATTATATGTCCTGTTTGGAACATTCAAGTTGTCTTTTTGCTGATAGAATTATTACGACACGCCCGCATTAAAGACGAGATAAACTAAAAAAGAAATACCTGCAATATTATGTAACTATCCCCCATGTAAAATTTCCCATAGTCGGACTTCTGCAACGGAATAGGCTGAAAGTTTTCAATCCGCCAGATTTCTGTCCCACTAAGAGAAATTAAGTTGAACATCTTAAAGTTTTGAGACATAATCTATAAATATATATAGATGAATCAATCAAGAATTTCATCACATACAAGCAACTAAAGCTCTGATCTCAAATGAATTACAGAAATTTTCTAACTTTTCTAAGGATACACTCTCTGTCCAACTGTCTGAAATGCAGGATCCAAGGCTTTGGCAGAGGTAGACATTGGAAAATATTTCTCTGCTACTGTCTCCTTAGCTGCTAGAGAAACTAACAGTTTTTAAATTATTGTATCTGATGTCGGATATGCCACGAGAACTCACTGCAAGAAGAGCGAAAATGAGGCGTGTCAATAAATCAGTGGAAACCCAGCATAGGAACAAGTAAATGAGAGATACATGAACAGAATTTAAATTTCAAAGCAGTCGAGATAAACGATGCAGTCTAGTTGAACGCTCGTTAATCGAAATGTTATATCATAATGATCTTTAAGATTAAGCCAGCTGCTGTAATCCAGAGCTCAGATGAGGAAGAACATTCCAGAACACAAATCTCTCTATTAATCCAAAGGATGAACAATTCCACCATTACAAACATCACAAACCTTACAAGTAAACAATCTTGTAATGTTGATTAGTACCACATTCTATCCCGCCCAATTTTCTCTTATAATGAGTGAATAAAGAACAAATTGCAATGCTCAAGATCCTCCATACCAATTACCACAGATCATATCCAATATCCTTGAACATTGTAATTAAAGAGTGATCTAAGGAGAGTGATTATGTTAAGCCATCATCTCGCAGTAACAATTCGCCAAATCACCAGATTTTCCCCAAAATGGTGACTGAACTACACAATACACAGTAAGAACACATCCAAACGATATACACCAAGTCCAAAACACTTCCAAATCACCATTGATTAAAAAAGAAACAAAATGGGGAAGTCCCGCGAACCAATCAGATCAAATCATCGATTGAATCTAGACCAGATATGTACAACAAGAACAGGGACAAACAATCAAACCCAGAACGAAAAAACCAAAAAACACCCAGATCAAAAAGAAAAATCACATGGGGTTAACGATCAAAGACAAGATCAACGAAAAACGCAGCGCAATGGAATGGATTCAGCTGATCCGAAAACAGCAAAACAGCTGCCTGCCCGGAGATCTCTCGCACCCTCTACAAATGAAGAGTGGAGGGAAGAGAAATTATTAGGAAATAGAAGAAAGTGGAATGGTGGAAGGACGAGGGCGCAGAGCTGGCAATAAAGAAAGATATAGAAGATAGTTGGGAAAAAGAAAAGTGGGAATTATTGCTGTATGTGTCTGTTTTTTCTTTTCTCTCTCCTCTCTCTACAACTTTTCAGCCTTTTGAGATTGGTATTCAGGCGAGTGAGAGAGATATCAAAGTTGGGCTGGGTCCGACCGGTTGACAAGCTCGTTTATTCAAGGGAAGGGATCTGTTGGCGGTGGCACCGCCCAAATTGGGCTCTGTTTTTTCTTCGACACCTTTTTTCACGATTTGTCCAGTTTAGCAATCGCTCAAATCAATTTGAACAATTGGGTTTGAAACTTCTTGGGAATAAAGATTGAAAAGACAAAGCTTTGACAAAACCCATCATTCAAATGGTAAGAATGTGAAGCTAATTTTCATGTTTTTTTGTTGGGGATAAAGTATGAACTCGTTATGCAGGGTTTTGTGTTATACTATGTTAAGTTGACTTCCAATTTTACTTCAAAGTCATGCTTAAAAGAACTGTTTAGAGAGACAGTTGACGAATCTCTTTACAGATAAGGCTCATAATATTAATAGTAAATTGGATTGAAAAGGACTGAAAAGTTATTTTTATTGAATAACCTCTCCATATTATATTAATCACATTAAATAATCTCTTCAACTTAAAATAATCTCTTCAACTTAAAATAATCTCTCCAACTTAAAAAAAAATTAGTATCCCAACGACGAGGAAGACCACTATTGTTGGTCAAAATTGATTTACATGACATGATTTGTACACCATATGAAATCTCCATGCTCATCCATCCTTACACCAACTTACTATTTAACAAGTTTTTCATATGGTTCGTTTTAGCTCGTATACTAGGGAGAGGTTTCCACAACTTTTATAAGAAATGTTTCGTTCCCTTCTTCAACGATGTGTGACCTCATGATCCACCCCTAGTAGACGCGTGGTTAGAAAGAGGAACGAAGTATTTCTTATAAGGATGTGAAAACCTTTTTCTAGTAGACACGTTTTAAAATCGTGAGGCTGACAGCTATACTTAACGAAAGCAGACAATATTTACTAGCAGTGGGTTTTCCCAGCATCTCCTGACACATAATCTCATTACTTACTTTTGGCTTCGGTGAGTGCAAACTATATCCTCACTTACATGCATCTTACGAAAATTTTCCAGAGATAATCTATCATAAAATTGCTCAGGCAAAAGACACTTAACCGTGAAAGTGCACCTTGTTCGTATGTGTAGTGACTTCAATTCTTTCGAGTCTTTCTTAGTCATCACCCTGTCTTTAAGATCGCTCGTATGGTCTTGGTTCATTCATATTTTACTCGAATGCCATAATACGTTTAACTTTTCGAGTTAGAGAGGCGTAAGAAAAAGGAGGGAAAGGGAAGAAGACAAGAGGGGCATTGCAGCCTAAAAAACAAACAATGAAACACAGATGGCAGAGAACCGCGGGTGAGGAACAGAGTCGGTTCAGGTTGTTCTACTCCTTTAATTAAATAAATGAAGAAAAGTGTGTGTGTGTGTGCGCGTTCGAGTTCTAAGCCAGTTCGTGGTTTTTAATATTAAAAAGTTAAGGCGTTTTCTGTGTGTGCTTTTGTTTGTTGCTGTAATTTTAATACACAAAACACTGCCTCTGATACCCATACGTCTCTTCTCTAACGTCATTGCTATTAAATTATTGCACCCTTTCTTACTTCCTTTCACTGTCTCGCCTTTCCATGCATGCTTTCACATGCACCAAACCCTACCTCACTTCTTCTCTACCCTTTCACATCTATCCTTTCACACAATCTCGAGTAACAATTCAAGCTCACCATTACGAGATATTGTCTATTATAATTTGTTACGTATGACCGTCAGTCAAACAATTTTAAAATGCACCTGTTAAGGAAAAATTTTCACACCCTTGTAAGAAATTTTTTGTTTCTCTGTTCAATCAACGTGGGTTATCACACTTCATTTTTACCATTATTATAGTTTGTTTTTACTTTCGTTTTTCTACTTCTCTTTTTCATGTTAGGTCTTAGAGTTAATATTCAAAGCGAGTAGGCGAGTGCATAAATAAATTAAAACATTTAAGCGGTAACATGGAGCTAAGAAATGTAAACAAGTTTCAAACGTGAGAGAGATAGAGAGATGATTCAAGAAACAAAATGATTAAGCCTATGGTAGCAATAATGAATGTTCTGAATGAAATCTCTCTGCTTTCTACAACTAAATCTCTCTTATTTTTTTGTAAGAAATCTTTAACAAACTACCAATTGTTCTCTACTTTTACCTTCAAAATTGATTATTTTAAGAACTTTTGATGGTAGGGAAAAGGGTAAAAAAAAAAAAGTGTGAATATGCTATCTACATGGATGAGTGGCGATCGAAGTCCCACAATTGGAGTATTGTGTGATGTAGCAAAATCGAGAGGGAGAAAGAACTCGAGACGAGCCTACATAGTATTAAGTTATTGGTAAGGTAAAGGTCCATGAAACCTCCTGCAAATCATCCGGTCTACTCCGTTGTAACAATGAAGGTGAGAAGCGTTAGAACCAAACGTTGGATTGTGGCGGAATTATGGCAAATGGAAGATGTTGGACATGGTGTACAAAAGATGAATTGACAATTAAATTATTATGTATGTGAATCTATTGTTTAGGCGAAATAATATTATGGTTAAAGAACAAGTTTCGTCCTATAACTTGTTTTGTTTGCCCAATCAATTCAAACTTTACCTTCGAGATATATCATTCATATCCAAAAGTGGGAAAAAAACTAAAGAAATGTTGTACCTTTCAATCATTAGGGATACTCTTTGTCCTCACTACGAATATCAATAACGAAATGACAAAGAGAAGTACACAAATCGTCTAGACCTATAATGAACAATGTATATATTCGTTGAATAAAGTCATGCTCAAACTTCGATGATTTGACTTTTCTTTCCAACCGATCTTTTGACTTTTGTAACCAATATATATAAGATTAAATGTATTACCAAGAATTGAAGCTACAAATCGATTCTATTCGATTCAAACAAGTTAATGATTTAATAGGTGGGAAGAGGTTTGTTCATTCTTAATGATATTACCCACTTGAACTTATGGAGTGGCTAGCTTAGGGTAGACAAATAATCCAGCTATTACTGCCTTTATCAACCACCAAAGGGACTATGTTTTCCTGTTCCCTCAGGTTTATCAACTCCATCATATATTATCGCTTAAACTAGTATTTCTGACTTATATAATCTATAATCTATAATCCCGACTCTATCCATATCACTTTCGTATACTTTGAGTTTTTAGACATGCATCACTTTCATGCTGTCAAATCTTATGGAGTTCCACATACGAAATATCGGGTTAATGATATGATGCAGCATATAAGAACTCTCAAGCTATAAACCCCGTTTCAAAATCCTTGGCAAAACCAACCACGGAGCTCTCTAGAAAAGGAGGATTGGGCACTGAACATGAATAGAATGTCGACCACAAGCCCATCAACAACAATTGCACGAGTCTTAAGGATCAAATTAGAGTCACCACACCTATTGTTGTTCGTCGTTCATGTCTATTGAAAAAAGAGATAGTGAAAGAGATAAGAATAGATAGAATAGATAGAATAGATAGAATAGATAGAATAGATGGAATAGATGAATGTTGCAGTGTTTTATTATTGTCTACTGACTCGATGCTTAGAGGGTTACACAATTCCCGTATTTATAGCTTATCCACTGGACAAGAAATAGTAAATCAACGAAATCTAGAAAAATTCAAATCTACTACCAATTTTCTAAAATCTTGATAGTTTGAATATTTGAATCATATCTCAACCACTCTGAATCATCTCTTTTTGAATACTTTGAATCATATTACGAAATCTCTCCATTCATCTCTTTAAACTCGAGACGAAAATAAGTGAGTAATTGATATATATATATATAGTGGTTATATGTAAAATGAATATATAATTAATTAAAAAGAAAGGTGTTGGAGTGTGAAAAGACAATTTTATCATCCAAGGAATCCAATATTAATTGTTAAAATCAAGAATATTGTTGGGAAGTATAAGTGCATAGATTATAGTTTTCCTGAACACCAAGGGCAATTATTAATTTTACCAATATTCACCTTCCCTCCATAAATATCTCTTCCTATCCCTATCCCTATCCATATATATTTCCTGATCTCTAGGTTTTTAAGCACACAACTGGAAGAACAAACCCAACATTTTTATACCCCAACAAGAAAAAAATATATATTTTTTGTGTTTTGTAATGGAAAATCACGGCGATGACCCAAACAGTCCAAATCTCAGCTCCGACAGGGCGGAGCCAGTGAGATCACGGTGGACGCCGAAGCCGGAGCAGATTCTGATTTTGGAGTCCATTTTCAACAGTGGAATGGTTAATCCACCCAAGGATGAGACTGTTAGAATTAGAAAGCTGCTTGAGAAATTTGGCTCTGTCGGAGATGCCAATGTTTTCTACTGGTTTCAAAACCGCCGCTCTCGGTCTCGCCGCCGCCAACGCCAGCTGCAGGCGGCTGCAACCCACCAAGGTGGCAGTGCAATTCATTATGACAGTGGTTGTGGCGGTGGCAGTGTCATGAATTTTGCTCCTTCCTCTTCTTACCTTGGAGAAGGAGGGTCCTCCTCCTCCTCCTCTTCCGCCTCCGCCTCCGGCGGCGGCGGCGGTTTTTCGATGACCGATCACATGGGTATCTCTGAAATTGATCAGCCGATGGTTGTAACCCCCTCGTTTTGCCCTTCAGCAACCTCGAATTTAGAGTTCCAATCAGGTATGGGTATGCATGTTTGTTCAAACCCTCGTTTTATTTCACCAAAATATCCAAAAAAAGGGTTTTTGATGAAGACCCAATAATCAAAATGGATGGAATATAGTAAATTTAGCAACTTTTTTGATTCAGCTTTTTGAAGAGAGTTCCAATGAATTGTTCTCTTTTTGATGATGATGTGACAGTTCTTTCTTGAGCTGGAATTTTTGAACACTAATAGCATAAAAAAACGTTTGTTTTGAATTATTTGAATTGCTTCACGGGTTTGAGCATTAAATTTTGTGTAAAAATGTTTGATTTTGAAGGTTATATTATAATATTCATAAATGGAGTTCCGACAGAAGTGCCAAAAGGAGCGGTGGACATGAAGGCAATGTTTGGGGATGACACAGTGTTGGTTCACTCCTCAGGACTCCCAGTTCTTACCAATGAATTTGGAATATCACTGCACAGTCTGCAGCATGGTGAAACCTACTTTCTGGTAATTATTCTCTCTCTTTCTCTGTTTTTGAGCCTCTTAAACTTTCTATCTTCTTTCAATAATTCAAACAAACACATAATCTAACTCAATTTGAGTTGAAATTAGTACTAACCTCTTGGATGAACTCATGGAATTAGCTTAGGAGGGTTTTGGTGGAATGATTCCTAAGTTAATTAAGATGTGTTCCTTTGGATTAGTGCTAGAGAGTTTGATGATGAACAAAACACGCCATAATTTGATGTAAATTTATGCCAATGAACCCAAATGATGCCCTCAAATTTAGGACTAAAACTTCCTAGTAGACCACCTAAAATGAACTCAATGATGATGAAGGGGAGAAATCAAACCTTCAATTTCACAAGAAAGTGAGAAGTGTATAATCATCTTAGTTATGTTTAATTTAGCTTGAACTCCCGATTGAATTCGAGTGAAACTAGAGGAATTGAAAGGGAGTAGGAAACTGGATATGTGGTTGAAGTGGCATGTCATATGATCATCGTAGCTGTTCTTTAATTTCTATGCCAAATTCAACAAAAACAAAGGTGATGATGATGATGATGATATTAAGATTAAAATTAATTGGGTGGAATCTTGGTCGCGCAGGTTTCAAGGCCGACATGAGTTAGGAAAGAAACCAGCTGCAGCAGCAGCAACAACAACAGCGCCTACCAACAAGAAAATTAAAAACAGCTCTCAGATTTTCAAATGATTCGTCTTTTTTTGTAAGCTTTTTAGTGTTTGGTTTGGTTTGGTTTCTTTTTTTTAATGTTCTCCGGGAAATTGGATCTAAAAGAACAGAACTTTATGATAAAGCTTTATAGCTACCATACCCATTTCGTTATTTATATACATAAATATGTCTCTCTCTTTTGGTTGGTATGCTTATGTTATGGGACACCATTCCTTTGCTTCTTTCAAAACCCTAAAACAACTCTTTTCATGAAAGGAACGGTACCATTTTTTGCAAAAGCTTATGCCTACTTTCTTCGTTTTCCGCATGCAAAAGCTTTTACCTCCGAATTAAAATTTACAAGCAGTTACACGTATATCTGTTAACGGTTACTTGGTCAGCTCAATTCTATTTGTTACACCTAGATAAAGTGTTTATTTTTAGAACGATTATTCAATTGTTGTAACTATCATGAGTCATTGTCATTCAATGCATAACCGATGTATGAGCTAAGTGAACTTAGCTGAAGGGTTTGAATTTCAAGCTTAAGAGAAAAACATTAGTTCGCCTATTTGTGTGCTCTAGGATTACTCCATGCCCGGTTATCCATCAACTTTGTTGCCCTATACGACTATGGCACAATATGAAGAGAAAAGACTAGCCTCGTGAACATTGTCTCTCAAAGCGATGATGAAACATTCAATCTTCTCGACCTTAGTGTCGACTAAATTGACCTTCCCTTAAATTGCGACTAAAGGACTAGGCCATTATTAGTGTCAATCAACTTCTCCAACAACTCCCACAACAAAATGTGCATCATCTCTAAGCTTGTCTACTACACATCTCACCTTCTGGTCTTCTGGTCTTCAGGGCAATTCTAGTATATTATCGGGTACCAAGATAACCATGAAAAGGGCAAGTGTCCCACGTGTTCAAATCCTTCCGATACCTCCCTCCAAGTGTTATGCTCCCAATATCCAAAGCTAACTATTGCATAGACGTGGGTCTACAGTGGGTATCCCACCACGGTTTCGAGTCCAAGACATGACTCTATACTCTTTTTCTAAAGAAAAACATAAAAATCTTCATATTTGTAGATCGAAAAAACATCATTTACTTTAAATTAAAGTTGATATGAACATAGTTTTGGGTTTATAAAAGAAAAATCTGATACCAATAAAAATGCTGTGATTCAGTCATACATCATGAATCTTCCTCTTTTCAATATTGAGACAATCATCCAAATGCTTCCATCTTTCTATGAACTATATATTTCATCCATCCATCTCTATTAGTGTTTATGATGTAATTAAAAAAAGAGTATCCACTCATAAATAAAAAACAATATAACATCATATCATATTATTAAATTGGAATATTTCGATTAAAGAGAGAGAATAAAAATAATGTTGGAAGTTGATGAAAAACTGCATGGCAATGGATTAGGGAAGCTTCAAAAAACGATGCAACCACCTTGGACTTTGCCTACCGACAAATACAACCATTCTCTATCTGACGGATGTTTGTTTATGATGTTTTTTTTTTAAAGATTTTCTCTTTTTTTTTTTACTGCTTCTCTATTTAACCCCTCAACCAATCTCGAACCAAATATTTCTCATAAGAGTGTTGAAATCTCTTCCTACTATATGTGTTTTAAAACTTGAAGCTGACAACGATGCGTAATGGAACAAAGTGAATAATGTCTGCTGGTGATGGGCTTGAGCTATTACAGATCGAGCGATGTGTCAACGAGAATACTGACCTTGAACGAGATGATTTGGAATAATTCCAACAAAAATACTCAATTTTTTAAAATCTATTATTAATTTCTATATTAGTTTATATGATTTTGGACTTTGTTGGGCATGGGCCTTGAAAGCATTTATGTGGGCTCTAGATGCATTAATTGGGCTGGTTTTGGGCTTTGAAGTGTCTAAGAGACCAAATATTGGCCCATGACCACGTTCTTATCCCTTTTATGGGCTCCCATTTTCACCTATATCAGACTGCAAATCACTAAACCAAGTGCGAACCGAACTAGACCGTTTCTTCCTCGCGTAGCCTTATGCTCCCAGGAACCCTAGTTTCATTTTTTGCATGGCTGAAATCAGGTGAACGACGATGCTACCCCACCGTCACCTACATCCAATGGTGGCGGTAGACTATGGTGACAGTGAGAACGTCAAACTCGATCACAATCCACCCCCTTCGAGACCAGTCATTTACTTCTCCAATTGATGTGAGACACCCCAATCCACTTTTTTCGGGGGCCAGCATCCTTGCTGGTACACCATCTCGTGTCCAACCCCCTTCGAGGCTTAGCCTTCTCGTTAGTATATGACCCTGATACCAATAGTTGAGAGACAGGAGTTTGGGTACATTGCTTAGGACCCAGACTTTCTAAAACTTTAGTGTGAGGTATCACATTGATCGGAGAGTGGAACAAAATTTTCTTATAAACGTGTGTAAACTTCTCCCTAGTAACTCATTTTAAAACCATGAGGAACGGGGCAAGACAGACAATATATGCTAGTAGTGGGCTTAGACTATTACACTTAAACTAACCCGAGCTCGTTACGAGATGCATACTTGGATCACTTAAAGCGAAAAAATGAAAACATAGAAACTCCTACATTCTCATAGAAAACAAACAAAACTTTGTACCATCAAGAGATTCTAACTTTAAAATGACTCCTAAAATGAAAGTAAGGAGAGTGGGTAAGTTCTCCAGTTTAGCTGGTATCAATCATGCTGACCTCGCCTAACCCTAATCCATTGCTATAACTCACCAGACTCGACTTTGAGAAGAAGTAGATAGCTTTTGTTAGCTATTAGCTCTTGATATGATATCGGCCCAACCTTTAGGAGAAACTCTCTATTCATCTTAAGATGGAAAGTTCAAATAGTGGCACGTGTTGTTGAAGGGTTTCAAATGGGTTCATTAAAGATAGTATGTGGTAGAGGAAGAGCATTTGTGAACATTAATTGCAGAAGCATAAGTAGAAGCTCTTCATCTACAAAACCCCTAATCTCTTTAACAACCCATTTCCAAAAGAAACTCCAAAATCTTCATTTTTTTAATATCTTTTTGGCTTTCTCTCATCATTCTCTGCCATGCCTCACTGTACATTGTAGAGAGAAACAACGGAGATTGTTTTGTTTACATTTAGACTCTGCTTTTCATAAAGGAAACAGAGAAACAGAGGAGTAAAGTTACGAAGCTCCAACTCCAAGGAAATCAATGAACTGCATTTTCATATGGTGGCCGTCGTTCCCATTCATGCTTTCCCAGCCAGATGCTAAGGAGAGGTTCGTCGAGATCTCTGACTCCGCCCCTGAAACTTCCGAGTTCGACCCCGACGACTGCTCCGCCGCCATCACCTCCTCTGTTTTTTCCCAGCACCCGATCTTCCCCACACCCGCCGCCACTCCTTTCCTGCTGCACCATCCTACAATCCACAAAATATTCAAACTTCAAATCTCAACTCTGAGCTTAAAAACAATATAAAAACCATCACTTTATCAACTTACTAGGGGCAGGGGCAGGGGCAGGGGCAGAGGCAGAGGCAGAGGCAGGGGATTCATCGACGGTGCTGGAGATGGTGGATTCACTGGACACATTATGTTTATGGAAGGCTTTCCGGGAGGATCTTCTGTAAAGATTGGAGTATTGTCGATGTTTTCTAGCCATGATCACGTGCCAATGATTCTTGACAGCATTATCAGTTCTACCAGGAAACAAACGAGCGATCATGGCCCATTTGTTGCCGTACAATCTATGTGCTGTTAAAAGCCTCTCTTCTTCTTCCTCGTTGAAGGCCTTCCTGTTTATCCTTGGATCCAACTGGTTGAACCATCTCAATCTACAGCTTTTCCCTTCACACCCACAAAAAAAAGTCATAATCTTTGAAGAAAATACTCAAAACCTTAACAAAATTCCCTTCAACATACCTGATCTACCACGGAGATTCTCGGCGATCAAGTTCCAATTTTGGGGGCCATAATGGGCGACAAGCTCTTTGAGCTTAGCATCCTCCGCCGGTCTCCAATGGCCTCTAGCACAAAGCTTAGTGCGGCGGCGGGCACCGTTAGTTTTACCATCTTCTTCTTGTTTCTCTCTGTCCTCGCAATTTGATCTGCCGCTGTGACCGCCGTGGGACGGTGGTGAGAGATCGAGAGAGGCAGGAGGAGGGGGCGGCATGAAGGCGACATTTTGAAACACCCCATGAGTTTGAAAGGCATCGTTGAAGCATTGAAGGTTCATTATAGAATGGAAATGGAATCAGAAGAAGAAGAAGAAGAAGAAGAATGAGTGGTGGGTGGGTTAGATGTGAGTGTTTGTTGGGCAATATTTATGTCAAGTGTTTGAGAGAGAGAGAGAGAGAAGCACTCGTGTGAAGAAAGCAGGGAGAGGACACAAATGCTTTGATTACTCCAAGCTTGGTACTGCCATGGCTTGGGTTGGGGCTTAGCTTTTTCTTGGGGTTTGTGGAAAGAAAAAAAAACCAGACTCTTTGTCTCTTTCCTCTCTTTTTAACTCTATTTTCTTTTCCATTTTAAGGACAACATATAACACATCAACAACATTACATTAGGTGTCAATCATAAATCCTAGTTTCAAATCATACTAACGAAGCAGAAGATAATTATCCAAACAGATGGTTGAATTCATTCTACTCTGTTAGAGTTCACAACCCTATCCACTCGACCAAACTAAAAAATAAAGCTCACAGCCACCCCAATAATCCATTTTGTTCTCCTACAAATGACTGAAATTAGAATACATTCACACACAAAATGCGCATTTGTTTTATTTTGAGTTTCCCCTTCTCGATCCAAACCCTTTCGATTTAGCAACAAGAGTCGGTTATAGATTAGTCTTTTGGTTAATTTTCCCGTTCTTTTAGACTTTCTGACCCTTTTGGGTTGGTTGGTCGGTCTTGCTATTGGTATTATTGTTGGTNTAGAGTGTTCTCTCCGCAGGTACTCACACTCCTAAATCTTCCTGGGACTCATCTCTTAATTAGTAGTCCCTTGGTTTTTTTTTTTTTTTTTTTTTTTTTTTTTTTTTTTTTTTTTTTTTTTTTTTTTTTTTTTTTTTTTTTTTTTTTTTTTTTTTTTTTTTTTTTTTTTTTGATTTAAGGTATTAATATAAAAATGAGCACTGTGACTCAACTTGAAAATAAATAGAGCACTAGGAGAATAACATGTGACTTAAAAAAAATAAATATTAAGACAGAGTCCTTTTTGATTGATTGACCAAATTGTACACTCACGCATACATTTATGTCTCTGTAATTTGTTTCCTTTATCACCACCCAACCTACCTCTTTAATCAACATTTAATATCTACCTCTACGTACGCACATGCATACACATATGCATATACACACGGTTCGGTTCGGTTCGATCATTCGATGGTTGCGTGATTTAGGGTTTCAAACTTTGAGCATGGCCCGGGTTTTGAATTTGATATGATTTACGGGTTAATTTATAAAAGGAATTTGAAATTAGTATTTTTAATTCAAATATTTTTTAGAATTTTCAAACTTCTTTTTGACCATATAATAAATAAGAAAAGCAGTTCCGTTATTATATTCATGCTAAAAAACGATTTAAAAATAGCAAGAAAAAGTAAATTAGGAGAAAATTTTAAAGTTAGGAGAATAAATTTGTGATGCAATTCCAATAAAAACATTATAAAATATATAATACACAATATTTAATGAAACATTAGATATCGATATTTTAAATAATTAAACTACGCCCAATTTACCCATAAGATAATTTTAATTATTTTCTTTAAAGAATAATATATAGTGGGGATGGTGTGTGAATTATGAACAAGATTATTATTCTTCTTCTTCTTATTATATGGGTTTTGTTGGAATTGATGTGTTTGGGGAAGGGGACATTCATGTTTCCTTTTTAGAGGTGAAAAGATATCCCAAGTCCAATGGCATGCACATGATGACCTAGAATCAAATGCATGTTCAAAACCACACATGTTTTTATAACATTTGTCGTATTTTTAACGCTTTTCTCATTTAAGAGATCCCACGTCGGTCGGTGAGAAAAATGAAATATTTTTTATAAGGGAATGAAAAGCTCTCTCTAATGGGCCCGTTTTAATATTGTGAGGCTAACGACAATACGTAGCGGATCAAAATGGGTAAATTCTACTAATGATGAGAACCTCTTTCTAGTGGACACCTTTCAAAGTTACGAGGTTAACAATTAATATATAATGTAAAAATTATTTTCTTATATTTAAAAATTATTTTTTTATTATTTTCTTTAAAATAATCGTATTTAAAGATATCCTTAAATATATAATGTAAAGTATAAAATATTAAAATACCTTTTTATTAAAAAAATCATTTTCAACATAATGCGGCAATGGTAAAATTGATCACGAAACTTATGTAAAAGGAAAAATAATTAAAAAAATAATAATAAAAAGAGAAACTGCGGAAAAAAAAAACCAAGTGCTTGACTGGTTTTCACAAACCATTCATTGTATTTAAGTACCTTTTTTTTTTTTCTTTTTCTTACTAACTTGAAATAAATAAAATAAAATAAAATAAAGAATTTGCTCTCGATTTCTTTCTTTATTTTTTATTCATTTGATTATTAATTTAATTCAAATTAAGATTAATTTAAAAAAATCTCTCTTTTAGGCACAAAAAGGATATTTTCCCTTAATTTTCTGTCATTTGATATATAATTCTAAAAAGGGTGTCAAAGAAAATAAAGAAGGTGAAAGTGAAAGTGAAAAAGGAAGGGTAACAAAATAAATTAAAAAAAAAAAAAGAAAAGAAAAGAAAAAAGAATTTGGAGTTGATTACTCAAATCCCAATAGCATAAAGAAAGAGCCGGTGAATTCAGTGAGTCAGGTATTTACCATCCATCTTACCCACTTTTACCACAGTTAAAACTTTTTTAGTAAATTCTTTTGATGAGACCTGACATGTCATGTGCATGTGGTAAGTTTTTAGGTAGAGCATAATATTATATTTTGGATAAAAAAAATAAAAAAAAATTGAGCGGTTGAAAATGTGATATTAATAAAAATTTAATTATTATCTTCGATAAAACTTTAAAATTATCTATTTTAAATAGAGTTGGAATATTTTAAAAGAATTTGTGTCGGCCGTAATTATTTTGATGAAATTATAATAAATTAATTAGTTAATTGAGACCTGATAATTAGTTTAGTTTTCTCTCTCATACTTTTTTTTTTTTTGGACGGACAGTGGGATTCGTTTTTATTTATAGTATAAGAATAATAATTGGGTTTTTCAGAATCCGATCCACGTGTCCCTTCACACGTGCGGGATCCGTTCGTGGAAACGATTTTGAAATGTGGGCCCCATCTCATGAAAGTGTAGGGCCCATCTGACGTCACACTGATTCTTCACTACTTGCTCTTCACTACCTTTGCAATCTCTCTCTCTCTCTCTCAGAATAATAATAATAATTATTATTATTATATTTGTTATTTTGTCTTTTTTTTTTTTCCCATGAACTCATAATTAATTTTCTTGACTTAATTTCTCTTTTTTAAATGCTGGGAAGAACACGTAAGAGATTGCAATTCTAACCTCTACAAAAATTATTTATGTATTTCTTTTTCTATTTACTATTTTACTTTACGGTAATTCTTGTTATTTATTTTTCTTTACTATCTAAAAGTTAAAAAAAAAAAAATCAAATTAAAATTATTCAAAACTAATTAAAATTTAAAATTATATTAAATTAATCTTATTATCTTTTTAAATTATTTTTCAAATTTGTTCTTATTTATCATATATGTTAAATTAATAATTAAAATATTATAAAACTTAAATACCATAAATTAAATAACCACCAAGTTTGATCTAATATTACAAAATTTCATTAAAATTACAATTTCGATATTATTTTTGTAATTAATGATAATATTTGATAGTTACAAAATTGGCTTATTTGAGGGATAAGGAAAACCAAACTAAAAAACGAAAATAGAACCACATTAGGACAAGGTCGAGTATATATAATTTTAGAACCACATTAGGTACGTATACATACGTTGTGATTATTTGTGTTCCAAAATTAGCAAAATATTTTTGTGACAATTACAAATCAATTTTATGACGTTCTATGTACAACAATATACATTTAGTGACCGTCCTAATTAGATAGAAAACATGAGTTATTACAAAATTATGTAATTAGGAAAAATAACATAAAAGTATATATTCTTTTTTTTCTTTTTTAAAATTTGAAATACAAATTAAATTTTATATTTTGTATTTGTAAGAGTTTTACTTATTTATTTATTTATTATTATTATTATTTTATTTTGGGTTTAGGGTAGGATATGAAAATTATTGATGTTTCCAAAACCTAAAAAACCAAAGCTACATAATTAATTTATTTTAATAAAAAAAAAGCATATATAAATTTTGGTGTATAAAACAAAAAGAGAGATCTTTTTCATAATTTATTAAAGTTTTAGGGAGAAAAAAATAAAATAAAATAGGAAATTAGTTAGAAATGTTGGGGTTTAAATGCAAAAGACAAGAAAAAGCGGGCTTTGTTGAAAATATAAGCCATATTTTTTCCTTAGAGACGCGTACCGCCGATTGCACACCATCACCTTTACAAAAGTTTGACTCATCTTCTTCCTCTCTTTTCCAATAGGAAGGTTTGAACTTAACATGGTTCCATACGGAGTCGCACATCTTGATTGGATCTGCACCGAGCTCAATAAATGTAGCAGTTCAAGTTCATTATTAGTAGATATTATTCGTTTTAATCCGTTACGTATCGTCGTAAGCTTCATGATTTTAAAACGCGTCTACTAAGAAGAGGTTTCTACCCTTATAAGAAATGTTGAGTTCCCCTCTCCAACTAATATGGTATCTCACAATCCACCCTTTTTGAGGGTCCAACGTCTTTGCTGACACACTGCCTCGTGCTATACTATTTGTAATACCCTAAGCCCACCACTAGTAGATATTATCCGCTTTGGCTCGTTACATATCGTTGTTAGTCTCATAGTTTTCAAACGTGTCTACTAGAGAGAGGTTTTCATACCCTTATAAAGAATGCTTTGTTCCCCAATCCAACGAATGTGAGATCTCACAATTCACCATCCTTGGAGGCCATCGTCTTCGTTGGCACACAACCCAATGTCTGGCTTTGATACCATTTGTAACAGCTCAAGCCCACCACTAGTTGATATTGTCCACCTTGGGCTGTTACGTATCGTCGTCAGCCTCACAGTTTTAAAACACGTATGCTAGGAAAAAGTTTTCATGCTTTATTTCCCTCTCCAACCAATGTAGGATCTCCCAATATACTTTCATTACTCTTCTATTCTCGAGCCTGTAACATGGAAGTAAGGTAATAATATATACATACTCTTAACCTAATGGTTCAACCATTACAAAATTTAATGGGTGGTAAAGTTTTTTTTGCTAGAAAGCTTGTGGAGAAAGAGAATTCAAATT